CTCACGGTTCGTTGCCGCTCCAAACGACAGAGGGGCGTTTGAATATAAGCCTCGCCGCCCTGTTTGTGTGTGTCTGGTACTCTGGAAACGCACAAAGAAATGGAGGAAGGGGTGTTGTCAATTCACTGGTAAAACATTTCTCAGCAGTAAAAGGGCACTATCAAGCTTTGATGAGTGTATAAACTCAGTCGAACGATATTTTTTTTTCGATAAACTTTTCTATGAGTGGAATTATAAAGACAACAAACCGCAAAAAGATACGTGATTTTCTTTTTGGCGGGTGGTTGTTGCTAGGAGCCGCGTGTGTCAGTCTTTGTCGTAGAGACGTGGTTCAGTAATCGGAAACGCGTGGCGGATACAGACAACAACATCCCTCATCCTTTCGATACAATCGTTTTCGTGTGGACTGTCTGTCGGAGGACACATACAGGGGGATAGGGATGGAGAGGAAAGGGAGGGAAGGGGCGTGTGTTGCGGTTTGGGCGGGGCAGAAGGTGCGATGATTGTGTCGACCGTGCCCACACGGCGCTAGGGCGTTTGTTTCGGGTGGTGCAAGTTAGGAAGGGGTGGGGGCGAGAACGAGACGACATCTAACCTTATCCTCCACGCCCCGCCGCGCTCGGCCGTGGTATGGCCCCTGATGAGCCTTTCCTGTCGGCGGAAGCAGCAGTGCGGCGGTGAGAAGCTGGGGGTGGTGTGCTCGTTTGTGGACCAGAAGCAGTGAGAAAAGGTGGCAGAGAATGAGAGATTTGGGATGGGGGTTTGGGTTGCAGCAGAGATGAAGAGGATGAAGAGTAAGAGAGGGATGTGACCGGCACCGGGTGATACAACAATGGGAACATTTCTTGTATTTTTACCGGCACGCGCTCCCTTCAACCAAGCGCTCTGTCTTATTGGAGATGTGGCAGTTGTTTCACCGCCCTTCTCAATAATGGTCGGCTGTCGATCGGCAAAGTCAACAATTTTTGTAGAAATAGTCACACAGTGACATAGCGATGTGTACGTACGCGCCGGTACAGTATAACGAGAAGAATGAACAACGCGGATGCGGCCACCCTGCCAGCACCTTTTGATTAAGGGGGCACCAACTTGAGTATTCGCGGTTCACGAGGAAATTATTATCTTCAATATTCGGTCGATCTACAGTGGTATTTATTATTTGATTGTATTCACAGTACACGAAATTTCGATGCACCCACCCTCCTACCCTTTTGATTCGGCCAATATTAACACTTTCGGTTGCTGTTGCTCGTACAGTTATTCTTAAGTCCAAACGTCTTCGGTAGAGTCAGATTCGCACACACCACAAGGTTGTTGAAAACTCTTAAAACTTTGGCTTTAGAAGGTAAACGCCTGGCGGGTAGGCAATCTCTTGTTTTGTAGTACACCGTGGTGGAGCGGTTGGCCTACCCCGCGCTCCGCAGGGGCTCTCTGAGGATGGGACTGGTCAACAGGAACGGTCACTTTTTACTCGTTCCTGCTTCTCTTTTGGATGTGGAATGACGAGTATTGTGTGTGGTGTGGTCTAAGTTATTAGCATCTTCAACTCAGAAACTACAGTTTTGTCCATAGTAACAAATTATATCTCATAATAAACTATAATATGATACGAACGTTTTATGCTCCCCGAGGAGTCGAAAACATCATAATTAGAAAAACATATGTATGCATCAATAATTTGTGATATGATTTACCAACAAACAATCACAGTCCTCCTGTTCTTCAAATAACTTTAACGATTACGCACTGTAGAAATTAGTTTATAATAAAAAATCTTACAGTTTTAAACTGAGACTTTGAATTACGGTCTCAAACTGTTTTTAAATTGCCGTTTTTATTCTAGTTCAATATACCAGCACACGTAAAAAAACGAGGTTTTTATTTATGTATCAAACATGTTTAACGCTCTGTTCTGTATCTTGTTTACTGAGAGTTGGGAAAAATTGGGGGTAATCGAAATGAAAGGTTGGTGGAGACGGGGCAAAGGCCGGCAAAAGGGCTACTCTTCTTGAATCCCGGTGGCGGTGACGCTGCCGGTGGTTTGGTGGTAGCGGAAAGGCGGTGCTTTCACCTTCCTTCCTGCTTTCTTTTTCAACGCCCCCACGTTCACTGCCGGCTAGTTGGAGCCGTCACGTCAACCGACCGGGCGGGCAGGCGCTCGTGAGGGGACTGGGAAAAAAAGCAACAGATGGTGTCCCCCTTTCTCCCGCGTCGTGCTCCCCCGATGCACTGCTGGCTAACCGATGAGCTTCCAGCCTCGACCTCGCGGCTGCTCCCTCCGCCCTCCGTGTATGTGGACCTGCACTGTTGAGTCCACACGGCCAGCGGGCTGAGCTCTTTGCCCCCTGGAATAAAGTGAGAGGCGAGTTTTGGGTTGGAGCAAGGTTGAGAAAAGCAAACGTGGCGCATTCCGTATCGATAACTACCGAAATTTTGCATCAAAAGTTCCGAATTAAGTGGGTGTGGGGGGCTCCTTTCCTACGTACGGAGATCATGAGGGGCAAGTGAAAAAGTTAAGACATGCTGTCGGGCCCACGTCGGGCCTCCGGCAGGTGTTATATATGGACGCGGTGTAATATCCCCCCCCCCTCTCCGCCTGCCCGCTATGTCCGCCACTGGGAGAAAATTAAATTCGGCCAAATCCTCTTTCACACGGCCTCTTTCGCTTCCTCTTTCACCCCCCCCCCCTCCCCCAATTCCCTCGTCCCGTATCTCTGGCTCCCCTTCTCTGACGTCTCTTGCGGCTAGACCCGGTCAAGGCGGTGAAGGGGGGGCCTGCTTCGCTCTTTTCCCCCAACGCTTTCATGAATTTTCGCGCATATATGTACGTGTGCGCGCGTCCAGACTGCGTGCGAGTGAGAGTCGGGGCAAGTTTGGTGTGAAAGGGGCGGCGCGTTGAGGACGAGAGGGGGTAGGGGGGGTGGGGGGTTATACAGGGATGTGGCTCGGAGCCACCGTGGACCGTGGGAAGTTGTTGTGTTTGCCTAGCGCGGTAACGCAGGTAAAACTGTTTGAGGGGTGTGTTGTGGTTTTGGACAAGGTGTCGACAACCTCTAAAATTCCTGTGCGATGAATATTTGAATATGAACTGAATTGTTGACGCAGCAAGCACTTGTAAGCCCCGTCTACGCGTGGGTATTGTTGAATACAGGTATATGTAATAGATTATTTGTTGCCCATTATTCGAATGCCAGAAAAACAATTGTGCAAAGTCCTACCTTTTGAAGATGCGACGAAGCAGCTTTGTGTAGCTGGTGTCCGACACGGACGGCATTCGCAGCGTCGCTGTCTGGCTTATTTCGGAACCGTCTGCTCTAGGGGTCATCGGGGGTCACGGAGCCGGCCGGGTCACAGCAGGGTGCTCGCTGCGCAGCGCTGCGCGCCAGTGATCAAAGCCGTCATTACCTGACCGAGTCGACAATTGTAGACTACTGCTGCCACCCTGGCCATGGCTGGACCCGGGCCGCTTTCAGGAGGCCCAGATCTCCAACACCTTTGCAGTGCGGGACTAAAGAAACATAGAAAAAAGTACAATAATTCTACTAAAGGAACTTTGAATTCAACATATGCTTGGAAAAGGCACTATAAACCCTTCACACAAAACCATTTAAAACTGCTAGTGTGGCACTTTTGTTTTTGCAGTGTACTTAAGGGACAAAGATGTTAGTTTTGCCCTTTTGAAGGGGCGCTATAGAAATGTTGCGTTTCCTGCCTCTGTTAAATCACAAAAAGGGCGCATCGTATGAGTTAAAATTTATTGCCTCTAGCATTTATTATGGATTTGATAAGGCACTAATCCCCTAGCACGTTTTAAATGTATGACTTAAGAGCTTGTTTCCAGCGTGATTGTAAGAAAATTGTGTGGGAAGTGGAAACGTCGCAACGAATTTGCCACAAAAATAGAATATTGTGCTCAGTCTGGCATGCAGTTTGCTGTCAAACGATTGCCACATTTTTGGGATCTTGTAAAGCGAATGATGTCTTCATTATGTGGTAACATATACTGCTCTCAAATTACTTTGTGCGCACCAAGATGCACAGGGTAGAGCTATGATGGTGCACTTGGGCCCTTTAAAATACTGCCTTCCTGTAACAAGATACCAGAACATTACCGCAGGCTTTAATTAAGTCACAACCTCGTCAGAGCTTAACCCTATCCCCACCCCCTGTTTTTACCCCTCAGCGTATTCCCCCGACCCCCGCTTTCTCGCTCTCCCCCCTCTTCCACTCTCCCTTTTTCGGGGACTGCGCGATCAAACGCAATCCGCTCTTTTAGGCAAAATGCCGCTAAAGGGTGGCTGTAAGCGAACCAGTCCAGCGTGTCTGAGTCGGCGCTGAAACGAACTGGGGCCCGGGGTGGCGTCATGAGAGGTGGCGTGCAGCGCTGTGAGACCAGGCCACCTGAACGAGAACACAATTTTAAAATGTGTCTGAGGTTTAAAATAATTTACCTCTCTTCTTGGCTGTTGGCTTAGAGAGGCACATGTGGGTGGGATACTTTTCTAATGCACTTCATTTATACCCTTGGAAGACGATAGTTGTTTTACCATAGGTTACAGAGCTACTCTGTTGTATCATTTTTGTAAAGAGTCCATTAGAGGGCGGGAAAAAACTAAAGGTTTGAAAGTAAAGGAGGGGGGGCTCGGATCAATGTGCCACTTTCAAAACTAAAATTTTTGACCTCTCAGTCAACTTGACCGGACATCGGGAAAAGGTCGCACCACGCGATCAAAGTTAGCATAGATCTTTAATGGGAAAATGCCCTTAAAAGTAGCCTTTTTGCAAAATGGGCTTATTATTGCGAAAATGAAATCTACTCGTCAAAACACAATCAGGGATGTGCCACACTTGGTGTTCCACCCAAGGTTCACCCACTGAAAGATCTTTTCCAGCCGTGTTTTGTAGAATTTTGCTTAGTTGAGGCCCTACCTGACCACGAACCATTTACTTGCTGTTTGTTTAGTTTTGCTGACGGCGTGATGTGGTGTTTCTGTTTCCAGGGCCAGGCCTGCACCATGACTACAGCACCTCCAGTTCGGAGAGGCGCTCGGAGAAGCCTCTGTCCAGCGCGTGGCAGGCCGCTCTGGACGCCACGACCATGAGCAGCAGCAAGGGCCCGGGGGCGGGCCCGGGGGCGGGGCCGGGGGCGGGCGGGGCCGTGGGTGCGCTGGGGCAGGCCACGCTGGGCGCCGCCCCCGCTGCCCCCAAGAGGCCGGTGCGGCGAGGTGGGAAACCGCCTCCCGACCGGCCCCAGCGGGCCCTGTTCTGCCTCAAGCTCAACAACCCCATTAGGAAGGTGTGCATCGACACCGTTGAATGGAAGTATCCTTTATTACTTGTCTTGTCGGGAAAAGCGAGCAGTCCAGGTTCCGTAGAATGTTTTGTAAACGACGCATGCGAGAGGGGGTTGTTTGTAATTGGCACATTCTCTTTTTTATTTTGTTAATTTTAAAAAGTATATTGTTGTGGCTTGTATTATTAGGTCTACTCTGGAAACTCAAGTGTGTACTTGTATGCAGTACGTCCTGTACACCCACATGAGATAGTCTGTGTGCATCATCATGTTTTCAGGAGGTAATGTGTACACATCCTCGCCCATGTATGCAGGAGGTAGGTGTGTATGGCCAAGCACACACTTCTATACAGACAGCAGACAGGGATCTACGGGTGGACATGGCCAGGTACGCACAAAGTCCTGCATACATGTGCATGTCCACACTTTCTCCTGAATTACTGATCATGTACACACTTTGAGTTCGCCGGAGGTATCAGGGACAATGGAGAAAATATTTGGGTCCTCATCTTATTTTACGATCCGGCCTGCTACAGTTAGGGCCTTATTTAAAATTACGGTCTGGAGTGTAAAATAAGAAAGTGGGCGGATCGTTACGCCGAGTCATATTCAAATTTAGGTATTTGGAAGGACCGTTTAACAGACGTAGCCCGAAAACCGGCGCAGTTTGTAACTGATCTCGCCGTAAAATTACACACGGTCCACGGTTCGACCGTATTCTTAAATACTGTAAGAAATCAGACCGTAAAATAAAGTACGGTTCAGACCTTAAAAATAAAGTACGGTTAAGACCGTAAAAATAAATACTGTCCGGCCTGTAAAATAATTTACCAAACTGACCGTAAAATACAATACCGTAATGACCGTATGTCTACCGTATTTGACTACAGTTTGAACAGTGGCTGAGGCCGTTAGCTGCTTATTCTGGGGAGGCGGGGCAGGAGAGAACTATATGGGGATAGAATTCCATCGGCTAACAGCTTGCTTTCGAACCTGACTGTCAGGCATTGGAGGTATGGGGCGGAAGGGCAGCGGCGCTGTCTATCGCACAAATCCGGCTCCACTCGTCTCAGCGTAATCACCCCCTCCCCCTTTTCCCCACTCTTCCCTGCCGCTTTGCCTGTCTGCCCCTTCCCCCTCGTGGGATGTCCTGGAATATCGGATCTTCCGCGCCGCAGCCTTTGCGGGAAGGGAAATGTGCTCCGCTGCAGCCAGGTGCGCCATGGCGCGCCGACGCGCTCGCGCTCTGTTCGCTCTGGAAAGCAAGTCCCATACTCGTCAAGCGCCCTTCAAAACTGACTAGGAAGAAGGTAGGAAACCTTTCCCTCGGGCTTTGGTTCGCTCGTGGAGCGATATCGGCTGAGGATCGTCCCATTGACTTTGTTGGAAATAATAAATCACTCCCTTTGCAATTTGGAGGAGAGCCGCGTGCTGTAAGTTCAGCCACAACTATGGGCCTTCCTGCGGCATTGATGGGCACTTGACCTCGCTTTTTGAAGCACTTCTACCCCCCCCCCTTCCCGCCCACCTCTTGCCACAGCCCCCCCTGCCCGCCCGCCCATGCCCTTCCCTTCCCCACTTTTCCCTTTCGTTTTCTCTTCCTCGCCGTCTGCCACTTGAGCCTCCGCAATATGCATTTCGTCCCATTCCAATATGGTTTCACTTGAGCACACTGTTATTTTTCACATCTTCTTTTCGCCCTTCTTTTGCGGTCCATGTTTTTTCCTACCCTTTCTCGAGCTTTCCGCTTCCTCTTCTTTCTCTCTGGCCGTGCACTTCGCGTACTATCCTCCCTACTACCGCCATACACTGGGGAAACAAACGTCCTATCTAGGGGCGGGGGAAGTGCTTCGCGACTGGGGCTGCCGACCTACAAGGCGGTCGCGCATATTTTTTGCAATTTGGTTCGTTTTCACTGTTTATTTGAACTGTACAGGTGGCCATTCAGCCACAAAAAGTACTTTCCTTGACTCAGTTTCTCAGGCCATTTGAGTACCTGATATTGCTGACTATCTTCGCAAACTGCGTCGCCCTGGCTGTGTACACTCCTTATCCTAACAGTGATTCCAATACCACAAATTTGTATTTGGCAAGTACTTCGTTAATCTTCATTTATTGTCTACCTGTCTCACTTTATAACAGTCGATTGTATTCTGTACGATATTTCAGGAGAAAATTGAGAATATCTTTTTAGTTATATTTACTGCTGAATGCGTAATGAAGATAGTAGCGTATGGTTTTGTCGCCCATTCAGGGGCTTACCTACGAAACGGTTGGAACTTATTAGATTTTACAATTGTAGTTATAGGGTAAGTAGCGCTTGTCTGTTATTTCCCCAGCTATTCTGTATTGGCAATTTTGTTTAGCTCAAAACTGTACTCTAATAAATGTTGCAGAATGTTAAGCACAGCGTTAACAAGTTTTATGAAAGAAGGTTTCGATGTGAAAGCTTTAAGAGCATTTCGAGTATTGCGGCCTTTAAGGCTAGTGTCTGGTGTGCCAAGTACGTATTTTTTTAAATTGGGTTTTTGAACCTGTTGGTATTCTGAACGTGACTCTGATACTCTACTTAATACCTGACTTGTCTACTTTAGGTCTGCAAGTGGTGCTCAATTCAATTCTCCGTGCCATGGTGCCCTTATTACATATAGCTCTACTGGTACTTTTTGTTATAATTATTTATGCCATTATAGGCCTGGAATTATTCTCAGGGAAAATGCACAAAACATGTTTTAATAACATAACTGGTGAGTCAGAGGTTTTCTCTTTACAAATGTCCATTTCGCCTAATGGTTTCGGCAAGAGCGAGTTGGAAACGTGTACAGGCCCTGTCTCATTGGTCGAGTTAGATATACATCGGTCATACCCACAATATGTACCAGGCGCGGATTAAGGGGGGGGGGGGGATCGCCTCCCCTGTCGTTTCTAGACAGCCGCCTGAAAGGTAGGCAATTTGCGCCACAAAACCCCTGTATGCAGGCAACCGACAGTGCAGCGCCCCTCCTGTCAGCCAGACCTTAATCCACCCCTGATGTGTACGCCTTTTGTTCTGGCCGTCATGCTCGGGGGGAGAGAGTATGTCTAGCAGAGTGACCCCCGACGGGACCTGGGCGGGAAGAAGGTCAGACCCAACTGGGGCTTGTAGGCGACCCGAGCGCATATGTTCCCTGTCAGGAGAGAACCTAGATAAGAGAAAAAGATGTGGAAGGGCGCGAGGGAAAACTACTACCATGAGACCAAGGCATGGCGTTAGGAAAATAGGTGTTTTTTCTTGACACTCATCTGATGGTCGTATTCCGAATGCAAAGACAGCACGGCAATTGCTGAAGTATTATTTGACTCCGGGATGCTCTCATTAGCGGGGTTGCGAAGGCGTCTCGTTTCAACCCTCGTCTCATCTCAGCTGTTGCCCTATAACAAAGCTTTTTATTTTAAACAACGGAGGCGTCGAGAGAAGTTAATATTTTTTTTCTGCTGTCACAGGGGAAATGATGGAAAGCCCACATCCCTGCGGGGAGGGTGGCTTCCAATGCCCACCCCCCAAGGTGTGTGCCCTTTATTGGGAGGGACCCAACTTCGGCATCACCAACTTCGACAACTTTGGTCTTTCGATGCTCACAGTCTTCCAATGCATAACGCTTGAAGGATGGACGGACGTTTTGTACGCTGTAAGTAAGGTGTCGAATTTGTTCAGACGCCAATCTACCTTCAGGCACTCGGGTGCACGACTAGTTCTCTGTTAAATGAATTTTTGACGGCCAGCGCTATTGCCCTAAATAAAGATGTGTCCCAGTGTTTGCATAAACACTATCTGAAAAAATCATCGTAGTTTACATCGTCAGGGTAAGAGGTGCAGAACCGTAAGCGGCAAGATGCTGCCGGACCTGCAATACGAATTGTGAGTTGGGCTAGCCGACTTATAACTGTTTTTTCACTACTCGCCCTTTAAAAAAATTGCTTAAGCAGGTATCTGCTACGCGAAGTCCTCTTTACAGCTGTCTAGCTGCCATTTGATTCCCACACGGATATTAAAAGTGGTTAAAAACCATTCGAAATAACTTAGCGACGGCCCTTCCGATTCGGTAAGCCAAGTCCCCTGTCGTGAGCTGTAAAATCGTTTCACAATTCATCTTGCGCAGGCTGAACAGATTTGATCAGCATACAAGGTGTCGTTGTCTCTATAATACTGGTTTTCATGTCAATTTATTACCATTGCATGCTAGGTCTCAATCCTAAATTTTAACTAATGAAAAACTAGTGCTAAATATAGCGCTAATTAAGTCAACATTATTATGCCAGTTCATTTTTAAGCCCTTTGATTTCAGCTTAACCTGTAAGAGGGGGTCAACTGAACAGCTTTCACTTACAAAAAAGTTTATTGTAGTCGGTAATTTCTACAAACTCTGCTGCCACGTTTAATGCCAGAAATGTCTCATTTTAGACTCTACTTAAATTTAGTATCCTTTCAAATATTAACATTTGGAGGACGCCTTAGGTTTTCATAATGCATATCACCTAAAACATCATGTCATAAAATCTATATTTAAAATGCAGTAATCTAAGCAATGAATTCGTACGTACATTATAAAAAAAAAAGCTTTCTTGCCATCACCTCCGACCCCAGACTCCTTTGCAAGCTGTTAAATTTTACGGCTGGCTGTAATTAAAAAGAAAAAAAAACAACAAAAAAAGAATAACTTCAGCGCTCAGCGCTGCTTAAAATGCGGAAATCAAGTGTTTTGCTTAAGTAGCGAAGTAGTTCAGCGAGTTCTTTCACGCACAATTATTAATGCAGCATGCCCCTTTTTGGCTAGCTTTTCGAAACAACGGCGAAGTAGTCAAAGTAATATTCAGGTATTTGCCTTTTAGTTGTTTAGCATGCTTTACAAGCCCGACTTAAACTGGGCGGGAGGGTGCTTTGTTGGTGGTGGTGATGGTAGGGGTGTGGGAGCTCATAAATTTATTTTTGATCGCAGTATATTCGAGAGTTCATTGCAATGTTCAACTCTTTTACACCAAGACCCTATAGCTTAAAAGAAGTCACTCTGATTCCCTACCGAAGTTTAGTTTGTTTGGGAAGAATGTAGCTGGCCAAAGTGCAGCACACCCGTTGTTTTTCGCCTTACCGCCTGTTTTCTGTGGTGTTTACACAGATCCAAGATGCGATGGGCAATAGCTGGCAGTGGATATACTTCATTTCAATGGTTATTCTTGGAGCGTTTTTCGTTATGAACCTAATTCTTGGTGTGTTGAGCGGGTGAGTGTTGCTTCTTTACTTTGATTTTATTGGTTTCGTTGTGTTGTGTGTACTGTTATATTGGTAACGTTCCGTTCGAATTATTTTCTTCGTTTGCTGTCGATGCAAATCGCATGGAATACACTAGCTACGCGTTGTAATGTAGTTACTTTGCTGATACTTATCTTTTAAAAAAAATATCCACGGTAAGTACTCTTTGAGTTTGCTGCCTTCAGGGAAAACATGTTAACCTTCCGTCCGTCCAAGGGAAAAGTTCTACATACTAGATCTGGGGCAATGCTACACATTTCTTAATCCTAGTGAACGTAATTCTTAGAATACCCGTGGACTAAAAATTAGTGTTCTTAGTGTGTTTATGTGAAATTTGTTTTCCCTTGTCTCAGAGAGTTCTCTAAGGAGAGAGAAAAGGCCAAAGCTCGCGGAGATTTTCATAAGCTTCGAGAAAAGCAGCAAATTGAGGAGGATCTCAGAGGTTACCTGGATTGGATCACTCAAGCGGAAGACATCGAACCAGAAGATGGAGAAGATGGGTCAAGACAACACGCCCAGGATGGAAAAAGTATGTGCACCGTAAGACATTTACCGCAGTTCTTCTTTAGCTTTTCTCTGTAACATGTTTTGAGTATCGCTATCTGTGTTAACACCGTTCTTACTAAATGACTTCATTCGTTTATTTAGTCACAATCGCTATATTTTTAGCATAAACGTGAAGTATAAGTCTTTGAAAAAGTAGCCATTTTTAGCAATACAATATCTAGGACTAGATTAGTAGCAGCACTTAAACAAATATTGCGAAGGATTGGCATCCGTGCAGAACGTAGATTAAAAGGGGGTCGCTCAAAAGATTGATCTGAACATGGTAGCTGAACAAAGGCGGATCAGAACACTGTCCCTCACCAAACACGGATCTGCTTTTCGCTGATCTCGACGTATTCGTCTTTGGAGGCCCCTTCCTCATCGTAAGTCTGGTGTGCCGTCCAGGAAAATACAATTTCAATCACCATCAGGACGTGATCAATGTAAGACAACACCTGATCCGTATTGTGTTGGAGCGACCACTCTCTGATCCGCTTTAGTTGCTTTAAGATGTGGAAATTTAGAGAAGGATTCTCCAGAAATGCGATGTATTTGACTATTTTCCTGATAATGCAGACGTAACGTGATCCTCGCTCTTAGGATGGCGACGCATTGCTCCAAATTTCGTTTCCCTTGGGAGATTGACACTTGCTTTCCTTTTATTATTTAAGTGATGATTTTGGAACATTATTGCTTTATTTAATTGACGCACGTCGTTGAAAGGAAGCACTGATGTGAAATGGTCAGCCATATTGAGCGATGTTCCATAGAAATCTCGTAAGTAAGGGAGTGACCTTAATTCCGTCTCTATTCTAAAATGAGACATTCACACCACTCTTGCAATCCCAATTTAACTAAATAACGTACAAAAGAATTTATTGGCAAGAGCAAAGAATGTCCTTTTTTATTTTCATAACAAATGATTTCTAATCGGTTTAGGATGACAAATCAGCCACAATCCTTCGTGCGGATTTTATGGTGAGAATCTCATCGGCGTCCACCTAGTTTTACTTGAGCCCCGCTCCTCTGTTATTTTTCATGTGTCTTATATAAACATACAATGCCCTATCTATAGCGCATCTATTTCACTATGTCCAATCTGTAAAACGAAGCGCCAGAGATCGGCTCTCGTAGGGATATGCAACATGGTTTTAAACTGGCTCTAGTTCCTCCGCCTTTGATGAACTAGAGTGTTTAGAATAAAAACATGACAGTGTCAACTATTTGCTGTAGACTGCAATTGGTTCATTGAAGTCGGTATTCCAGTGCACCGCGCATAACGCGACATTCTTTGTGTGGTATAACCAAAGTGATCTGCATGCAGTGTCGTCTGAGCCATAACCGAGCATGCGCAGTAGTGAAGATACCCGAAACTGTTACTTGTTCGCAGGCCGTTTCCCCCACCACTCTTTCCTATCAGGCTGGCGAAGAAGAAGCAGCAGCAGTAGCAGACCGTGGGGTGGTGGGGGCAGCCAGGGACTTCACCAAGGACAATACCAAGGTGTTATGTGGCAAATAATATTTCTGCTTGCATGCGTGCTTGTGCATGGTCATATTGAGCTGATGTGTTACTAGACATCATTGTTAGTTGGAGGGATGTCTTCTTGTGCGTTCCTGTGACTCTCACATTACGACAAACTATAATGCGCTTATCATAGTTACTAAGTTCATTTTTGTCGGTGAGAACAAATCACAGTTACATGAACACTTGGTTTTCTATATCGTAGTTCAGAATTATCATGGGTAGTACATTGGCCCAGCATGTAGACCACGGTGTAGAGAGGAAGGTGGAGCCCCTAGGCCGTTTTTGGCCCAGCTGGTGCTTACGGCCTAGTTTGACGTCTACATAGTTAGAGGTCCTGACAAATTATCTTGACCGAGGGATTTCAGTCCACGCCAGAAGTGCATCGCTACCCGAGCCGAGCTGCAGCCTATGTGGCCCAGGCCGACCTGCCTGAGCGGTGGGGGGGCCTATTGTCGGCCGGGATGGTCGGTGAGATTCCTGAGCGGCCTGTATTTCGTTTGTTCTCCGGGTGCGAACTCGGGGGCCTCTTCGGTCAAGATAAGTTGTCAGGACCTTTAACAGGCTCGCAGCCTACAGCGCTCTGTGCAGAGTTCGCCCATCGGGCGTGGCGTAGCGTGGTGTCACTTCCCACCCCCGCCTAGTCGTTCCTTCGAGACGTACAGGTAGGAACATACTAAAGAGGCACCAACCGGTACCCTCTGCATACAGCGCTGCAGGCGGCGCGCGCCCTGTCCGACGCTAAAAGTGCAGGAGTCACGCGTGTCTCCCTTGGGAGAACAATTCCGATTGAAGTTATTTTAACCTCTTTAGTATTCTTCCCAACATTATCGGGAATTTCGAGATAATTATTTAAACACTCGAGTCAAAAGGTAAACATGGGTTGTATTTAATCTGAACGTATTTTTGCAGATAAAAATGAAAATAATTCAGCGGACCACTTAGACGGCGAAGAAGAAGTTTTACAAGAGTCGTGGTTTAAGAAGAAAAAGAGAGATTTTGATAGGTATGTTATATATCCTTCGTGTTTGTTGTTATTTCTCTTGTTTTTTTCTGCTTACGGGCGAATGTTTGCTACAGAGTTAACCGCCGTATTAGAAGAGCTTGCAGAAAAGCTGTGAAGTCACAAGCCTTTTACTGGTTAATCATCTTACTGGTTTTTCTGAATACTGGCGTACTTGCAACCGAACACTATAAACAACCGGAATGGTTAGATTCTTTTCAAGAGGCGACAAATCTTTTTTTTGTAGCACTTTTTACGATGGAGATGCTTTTAAAAATGTATAGCTTAGGTTTTCAAGTAAGTAACGTTAAACATGTCTTTGATTTTTCAATGCTTTCGTTGGCAGCCGTTGGTAGCTTTGTGACTTATCACCTTTTAATTTCTAGGGATATTTTGTGTCTTTATTCAACCGCTTCGACTGCTTCGTGGTTATTGGCAGCATTGCAGAACTGATTTTGACCAATACTAAAGTAATGCCGCCGTTAGGTGTCTCTGTGTTACGTTGTGTTCGGCTGCTCAGAGTCTTTAAAGTCACAAAGTAAGTGAAATCAGAACCCGTTTTTAAAATTAAAAAATGTCTCCTTCTAATATTTTATGTTTTGTGCAGGTACTGGAAATCTTTGTCAAACTTGGTCGCCTCTCTCCTAAACTCTATTCAGTCTATCGCATCACTTTTGTTGTTGCTCTTTCTCTTTATAGTAATCTTTGCGCTGTTAGGAATGCAAGTGTTTGGAGGAAAATTTAACTTCTCAAAAACTGAAGACAAGCCTAGGAGTAATTTTGACAGTTTTTGGCAAAGTCTATTAACTGTCTTTCAGGTAAAAGGCCGTTTTAAAAGTTGACATACTTCGGGGAAAATATTTTGAAATCCATTCACGTCGCACGTCTCTTTTATTTCAGATATTGACTGGTGAAGACTGGAACGTGGTGATGTACGATGGTATTCGCGCATATGGCGGTGTTGCATCTTTTGGCATACTTGCCTGCATCTATTTTATCATTCTGTTCATTTGCGGTAATTGTATCCTTTTTTATGCTATACCTATACCGTGCTCTAATACACTTTTAGGCGGGACTACTTTTAGGCGGGACGACGTCTAGTCGGAACTCTATCTGTCACGGGTGGATCTGGCGTTATGAAATAAGTCTTAAACGATGGGTCTACAACTCACCTTAGCTATGTACTTTTCAGTTAAGATTTTAAGGATCATCATAAGATTATACAGTGACTATAAGAGGAATATTCGAGTTAAAGAGTTAAATTTGAAGAACTTTCTACATATTACACAATTCCTACTAGCTTATTGAGCTATGGTGTTCACAGCATATTTTTTGAGGGGGTTCTATTCATTCCTTTTTAACGGACCAGGGGAAAAAGTGGTACGAACAAGTTCTCTACTTTTGTAATAAATTTTCGTCAGTCACTAATGCTATTGCAATTTTCTATAGCAATATCACAGAATAATGTCACGGATTATTAAAAGATTACAAAAGTTTAAGATAATAGATTGATTGTAGATTATTGATAACGATTATAGAAGTTTATGGACTATAGCAATGATTTTGAGTGATTTTGGGGGCTTGTACTTGAAGACCCCTTGGACTTAAATGATGGAATTCGTTCTGGTTAATATTTTCTCGGTATATCAGTATTTTTCTCGTAGTGTGCAATAAAATATTCATTCTGCTGGAGTGACCAGTGCGATGACGCCAAGCTAGCAAATACGTCATATCGCAGAGCGTCTCTTTTATAAAACCGGGTGTCCCGGCTCTTACATGCCAGTATGGTGGGTTGCATACGCTCTGGCTCGCATGCGCTGTCGGGAACGCGCAGGATTTCGCGCATCCCACGCGGTTCCACGGGGAGGATCGCGGGTGTGCGCGGATGCGCGAAATCTTCACTGGAAAAACTAACGTTACCGAGGTAACGTTTCTTGACGCGACCACACCAGGTAACGTTTGGTGATGCTATCAGTTTGTGATGGCCCTATCCTTTTGCATGGGGTAGGTCGCATCAGGAAACGTTACCGGTCTTGGTCACATGATGAAACGTTACCATGGTAACATTAGTTTTTCCAGTGTTGCGCGCTCGCGACAGCGCCTGCGGGCGGTGCTTATGCAACCCACCATACTGGCATGTAAGCGCCGGGACACCCGGTATATACGCTTTGTGTTGGTCGCTTCAAAATGATATTTTGGACAGTGACGCAGAAAGAAAAGGGGGTTTCAGTACACGTCTGTTGGATGTTACGAATGTATAAAGTAGCCCAGCCCTTAGTGTGATTATTCCGGCAATATCAAAGTGTAAGTGACCTCCTTGACAAAATGGACAGACATCCTTCTAAATGTTTTCTTGGCTATCGCTGTTGATAACCTGGCAGACGCTGAGTCGCTGGCGACCATAGAGAAGGAGGAGGAAAACGAAGAGGTAACAATAACTACTACTGCTGCATGGTGTGTGCTGTGTTTGTCTGTTTCATCTCCCTGCTTTTAATAAAAACGTTACATTTCCTTTCCCTTCCCTGCAGCAACGCAAACATGATTGGCTCAAAGAAGTGGGCATTACGCCAAATGATGAGGCTGGCCCCACGACTGTGAGTTTCCTTTTTGCTCTCCCGCCTTATGTCTCCCGCACTAACATCCCCCAGTCGTTTGTCCAATGACCTGTTTAATGAACCGCACCTTCTCTACTACTGCACTCTGTTTACGAGTTAGAGTATTTTGCTGTACTTGAAAGCTAGTAAACAAAAATAGCCTTTGCTATCGTCGGTGTTTTCTGTTTAGTTGTTTATAATTTTATCATCTGTCTTAAATTAACACGTGGAGTTCTACGCGGGCACATACCTTACCGGAGAACGCCACCGCGCTTGATGTGTCGGGGACTGAACGTACTAAAAAATATGATTACCGCTTGATCTGAATAATTCTTTTTCAAACGATCTTATTGCACTTCTTGGTATAGACTGTATGTGTGGGGGGCGCTCAAGGAACGCATGAAAAATACCTTGCGCTTTGTTGCAGGGCGGTAACGCAGAAGGTGATTCGCAGGGAGAGGGCGGTGAGGACGAGGGCGAGGGCGACGAAGAGGGCATGGACGAGGAGGGAGAGGAAGAGGAAGAAGGAGAGGAGGAAGGGTACGTGTGCAGTCTGAGGTGATAGATAAGACGGAGCTCTATCTCATCTTTGGTTTATCCGTTCAACAGGTCCGAAAAAGGTGATGGCACGACAAGTCGATCGAAGGTGCGGATCGACCTTGGAGAGCCCGAGGAATACACTTACGACGATCAAAACGATAACCAGGGTAAGCAGAGCTTAATTTTTGAAGAAAAAAAAGATCTTATATTTAATTTTTCAGGTTTTTTTTTACAGCCTGGTTCCCGCGCTGAGCTGCTCATTGTCTAATCGATTATCTTTAGTGAGCGACTTCTTTACCCCCGCTCTTTCTAGATGGTTTCCAAACTCAGTGATATTTTTTCTCTACGCATATTGCGTCTTTCCTATCGTTAGCTTCACCCCATGAGCTTCAATTTTGCTTTCCAGAGTTCGTTAGTCGCAAAGATTGTCAACGTGGTTTAAATATCAATTGGCATTTAAACTATTCATTTTCGCTGGGATATCACTTGTGGGTGGAAACATTGTAGCCGTGTGATGTTAGGCGGCAGCCCAACCAGCCCGTCGTCCGTTTCCGAGGCCGAGAGACAGCCACTGCGCAAACCGTCAGCGCCACGGGTCCCGCCACGGGTGCCTGTGCCGCCCAGGGTGCCGCCGTCACGGAAGCGTATGGTGCCTCGGCGCTTCTCTCTGGAGGACGAATCAGTCAACAAGAAGAAGCCAATGCCGCCGCACAGCTCGCTCTTTGTCTTTTCAAAGTACAACCGGTGAGCACAGCGCGTGACTATAAAGCCCTGCTCGCTCGGTTGTGGCACGTCTCTATGGACAGAAGCATTCCTATCGCTCTGAATCACACACGTACGCGGCTGAATGCGAGAATTGTATCTAAATTAGAACTGGGCTGTCTTCTTAAACTGAGCCCACATCTCTGAGGGATAGGAATGCTATCTTTCTTTCGTTTTTGTGACTGTCCAGTTCATTGTATTTTTCAATTGTCTCTGTGTGTGTGGTAATTTCCCCAGTGTTTATTTTTGTTCGTACATGTTCTCCTTTGTCGCTTGTTATCGGTTGCAACCAGTTTCTTTGGCGGTACAGAATGGTCCTTCCCTGTATGATCCTCTGTAGGACGTCCTGATGTTGTCCCTTCCTGTTGTAGAACGCTGCAGGGCTGACCAACAGGGTGAGCCCCACATTTTGGTCGGCCTTGTGCTTTTCGGTGTTTATTTCTCCATTATTTATGCCGACAAAGGAAGAAGCAATATGCCATCGGTGTGTAGTGTGCTTGCCTTGTGTTGACTTTGTCTGCCCCTGACCCTTTGTAGAATTGGAAGAGGAAGAGGAGGAGGAAGAGGGAGGAGGAGGAGGGGAGGGAGGCGGGGAGGGGAGCGGCGGCCGGGCGCGGCCACGCCGTATGTCAGAGTTCAGCCCGGCCACCCAGAAAACGCCGATTCCACCGGAGTCTTCCTTCTTCATCTTCTCCCAAACCAACAGGTGACTGAACGCCTCAGTAGACTAATACCACATTATCGCGGGAAGTTCTGAGTCTAGTTCCGCTGGCTTGGCGGCGCGGCGCGGGACCATCCCTTGCCCCTGCTCAGCCGACAAATTAATCCCCGTCTCTATCGACCACTACTTGAGCTTCGCACATTTTTATCGCTTAGCATGACGCTAAGGCGTTTGCAATCGTTTTGTTTTCCCTAAATGAGACCTGAATTAACACTTTGGCGGTAAGCAGAGAGCTGGGCGTACAACCGCTTCTTTTTATTAAAATATAATAATAACACATTTTGTGTGATCTTGTAAATAAAGAGCTTAACATGGTAGTTTTGCACCTATTAGTGTTTAACTTCTTGAGTGAACACTAAATTCCTGCAAAGGAATGTTTTGTAGAACTTCAAAGGGTTCAAATCCTATGTAACTACAAAGCAGCTACTTAGCAATTACAAAGTGATGCTTTGCTATCGGGGTGTCCCCCACTTCCAAAATAGTGTACAACGAGTTGGCGAGCTGCTGCAAGTAGGGCGCGAAGTGGGATCATTTTTTAGGAGAATTTTGCGCGATATTGACGCGATTTTTCGTGATTTTTCGCGAGATTTCGTGGATATTCGCTAGTTGAACGCGAGTTGAGCGCGGGCAGGTGTACAATGAGTTAGATCGTGAGGGACCCCACGTTTGATAATGTGAAGCGATGCCGATAGAGTTTGATACTTGACTGTTTAAAATCGATAATTACTCGAGATGATTTTGGGAGCCAAAGGTCTGAATGGTGAAGCGGAAGAAGAGGATAATTCCATGGTTATAACGCCAAACTTATCTCCTTCTTCCGCTTCACCGTTCTGTTAACACCGTCTTGATATCTAATAATCATAACCTTGCTGTGAATGATATGGTTTTCACACTTTTCTGTGCGAGGAAGAATGGTCACACTGTATAGAAAATTTGTGCACACACTTTTTTGTGTGTGACATTTTGGAACGCACTTTTCGTATGCCACACACTCTGTTTGTGTAGATTACAAGTGCACAACTAGTCAGTTGCCCACATGCAAGTTCGCAATTACCATACTGTGCAGTGTTTACCGGCTGAACAATTGATTCATTACTCCACGTAAAGGATATTGTGTTTGCTACACTCTAAATAGGGAGGAAACGATTTTTGTGCCTAGATTACAAATGTCCTCGAGCACATCTTCATAAGATAGAAATTGGTCCGCTAGTAAGTTTGGACCTAGGCTAGGTACAAAAGCTTTATTTTTTATTCAAATTTGTACCTGATTTAGATGTGCGTCTAGTCTACGTACGAAAATGGTCCCTTGACATTTAGTTTAAAGTACAATGATTCGGTTCAGCAAGGGTTTAGCGTCGCGTCAGCCTGGAACCTGGCCTGGCACGTTATTAGGTGGAATGCACTGACACGTTCGATGAATTGCCAACCCCGCAGCTATGCCATTACTCTTTTCCCGCATGCGAAAAGGCCACCTCGCTTTATATCGCATATCGCATGTTATACTATTCTTTGTTGTTTATAATGTAAAGCAGGACGTGCAGCATGCTAACGTTCTTATCGTAGATATCTGCTCTTCTTTTTAGTCAAAGGTATTTCTGTTTCTCTTTTTTCACCCAAACTTGCATCGATTAATAACATCCACTTTTCTAACTGTGGAGAATAAGAAGTTCCGCTTGCACTGGACGCTAAAAATAGAAAAACAACATCACGGTTCTACATTCCACCTTGCTCATGGAAATGACCTCAAACACTGAATGACAGGACGTAACAAAATCAACTCCGATCTATCCATAATTTTTGTTGTTTTTGTTTACCGCAGGTTTCGCGTGTTCTGTCACTGGGCGTCCAACCACAGCTATTTCAGCAATTTTATTCTTGTTTGCATTATGGTGTCATCAGCGTTGCTGGGGGCTGAGAACCCGCTCAGGTCCGACACACCTACAAATAAGGTTTGTTTAAACACTGACGGTTTTTTCAGACAGATTTCATTTTCCTTGCTCCTTACTCCGTTTTTTTTGGGGGGGGGGGGCATTTGATTTTAAAAAGGCTATGACCAAATCCATCGTGAGAATATTTGTAATTTAGTGTATTTTATCTTCAACCGAAAAAGTACTATGCTGAACAAATTTTGTCGTAATTTAAACATTTCTGATCCGCAGGTTTTAGTTTACTTTGACTACTTTTTTACAACAGTCTTTACGATTGAGCTGATCCTTAAGATCGTATCAGCTGGGTTCGTTCTTCACGAAGGCGCCTTCTGCCGGTCTGCGTTCAACATACTGGATCTCGTGGTCGTTTGCGTCTCATTAGTATCAGTGTTTTTCAGGTACATTTCGGGTAAAATTATAAGTTTCGTTAAGAATTTCCTGAAGGTTTCGTCACTGTTAAGTTCTTTCATTCCTGTTGTAGCTCCGGGGCCATTTCCGTTGTTAAAATTCTAAGAGTGCTGAGAGTATTAAGGCCACTTAGGGCTATAAATAGAGCAAAAGGTTTAAAAGTAAGTGAATTTCAAACTTCATTTGGTGTCCTGCAGTTGTCTTTAACCCAAAGTAAATAATTTTACCACTTCCATTGCAGCACGTTGTACAATGTGTCATAGTAGCAGTTAAAACTATAGGAAATATTGTGCTGGTCACATGTCTGTTACAATTTATGTTTGCCGTCATCGGTGTTCAGCTTTTTAAGGTAAGGGACACTTAAGTCTCCTTCATTTAGTATTTTTGACTGTGAAGATTTTGCTGTTCTAATTTGTCATTTTGCAGGGCAAGTTTTTCTCTTGTACTGATGACTCTAAAGTGAGTGAAGCAGAGTGCCAAGGGTCCTATTTGGTTTACGAGAACGGTGACGTGGAAAGTATTAAAGTAGAAACAAGGAAATGGGGTCTGAACGATAGAAATTTTCATTTTGATAATGTAGCGAAAGCTATGCTCACGTTGTTTACGATATCAACTTTTGAAGGGTGGCCAGGGTAAGTGCAGCCTTGCAGTTTGTTCCACTTTGCGCTAGAATCCTATCTCACTTCAACCATGCCTCTTACAGTCTACTTTACGTCTCCATCGATTCGAATGCAGAAGAGCGCGGACCTATCCATAACTACCGACCAATAGTTGCCACGTATTACATCATCTACATCATTATCATTGCATTTTTCATGGTCAATATCTTTGTCGGTTTTGTCATCGTAACATTCCAAAATGAGGGTGAGCAAGAATACAAAAACTGCGAACTTGATAAAAATCAGGTGAGTCCCGAGCCAACGTCCAAACAGGATTAAACTGCCGTGCATTTGAATGTCTAATAATATCCATTAAACATCAAGAATTTCAAAATTATTTTCGAAATTTTTGTTGAATGTTCGGGAAAACCCAGCCAGAATAACAAAACAGCTTGTTCATAAACTTTGCATAATTTTTAAGCTTGCATTTCAGTGAGTTCAAATAAATTTTGATGAATTTTGTAAAATGTATTTATGTCCAGAGTTATGAATTCAAATGTACACCAGGTGGTCTATTAACCCAGCCGCCCGTGTGGTTATACTTTACAGCGTGCAGGCGTGTAGGCAGCTTGGCCTATTGTCCCTGGGACGAGCCGCACGCTTGCTTCACTGCCTAAAGTAAATAGTAGCCACAAAATTGCCTCGGCAATAAGCTGCCATGGTTTTTTTGAAGCTCTATTTGCTCTAGTGCAAGAGTCATAACCGCGACCATGATTATAGAGTTGTTGATATTAGAGCTGTTCTGTGTGAATCTTACTTGGCGTACCATTCTTCTGTACAAATAAATCTTTCTGCTCCATCTTGTTTTAGCGCAACTGCATTGAGTTCGCACTGAAAGCGAAGCCGGTGCGTCGTTATATACCAAAGCAGAGACTTCAATACAAGATATGGTGGTTTGTCACATCGCAACCCTTCGAGTACACCATATTTACTCTCATCATGATTAACACTATAACATTGGCCATGAAGTTCTATCGACAACCAGATGCATACACCGATGCGTTAGACAAGCTGAACATGATATTCACTGCTGTTTTCGCACTAGAATTTGTTTTTAAACTTGCCGCATTTCGTTTCAAGGTACTCATTTTCATTACGAAGAATTCTCATATTTATGCATATTAAGAGTCCAAGGAGTATCGTTTGTGTTTCTTTCTGTTCTAGAATTATTTTGGTGATGCCTGGAATGTGTTTGATTTTATCATCGTTTTGGGAAGCTTCATAGACATCGTGTACTCTGAATTCAATGTGAGTATAGAGATTCTTCGTTCTTCATTCTACCATACGTGTAGTTAATGGTAGGGAGGGTTCATTTGTTTACTGGTCGTGACGCTCGTTTTCGACCTCCATTTTTGTCTCTACCAATGGAATATTTTGTTGTATGGGCACTCCCTGCATGCAGTGGAAATTAATTTTATGTTTTGGAAACTTGCGGAATAGATTTGGCGTTTTAGGAACGTGGGACCGGTGGGGTGACTCATTAGGCATCATATGAAAGGACATGACTTTTGTTAAATCATTTTTAATATTCTATTTTTCTAAAGATTTTTTTTGTTTTGTTTTTTGAAAGTAATTGCCTTTATATTTATTAACAATAAAGATTTCTGTTGTAAAAGCATATTTTGGAGGGAATTGCGTTTGGGGCTGGAGAAATTATTTTAACAGCACCAGCTTCTTCATGTCCGTTGCTTTTTCTTGCGTTTTTTTTCATAATGATTCACGCCCGCTATAAGCGTGTATCTGTTTGCGTTTGATTTGCTTTTTATTGTTGGGTGTCCTACGTCAAATCGTAGCTGATCAAAACTAACAAGTGATTTTTCCTGTCACTTTTTTTAGAAAACAGTTTTTAATGTCCCCTCTTTTTTTACCGCAGCAGGCTAAGACCCTGGTCAGAACTTTTGGCTAGTATTTTTTCTCGAAATCGCAACATTTACTTAAATTGACCCACCTGTTCTTAGATTTAAATTCGCTCTTTCGTTTTTAGTTGTAAAACGAAAGCTTAGAATTTCGTCTTTGGAGGAACGTTGGTTGCATTATATATTTCGATCCTTAACTGTAACACGCTAGCCAGGTATCAATAGACTTGCTTTTCCCGCTTTTGTAAGAAAAACTGTCGCAATACACACCTCCTAGTTAAAGCACTTGTTGGCGCACTGACTAGCTGTCACCAGCTAACTTGTGGTCAGCTCCTCTCTCTATTTTCACCTCAAAGATGAATCCTATCGTAATTTTTCGCTTAAAAGCAGGCAATTGTTGTCATTTTCCTCACTAAGAAAATGCAACAGAATTTCCCCTAATGATAATCAAAACGTTTAAAAGATAGGGGTTGCAGATGGCTCTTCAAGCCACTGCTTCCTGATCTTGGCTACTACGTCTCTGTACTGCACGTTGTGTTTTGAATGCAGGAAAGCGTGTGCATTTTAATATTCAGAGAAACCCGATGTTCAGAGTGTGTAACTACTATGTGTCCATCTGTGCAAAATTACTAATGGGAAAATCTTTTTACGCACCAAGTCACCCTCCGAACAGCCCCAACAGGCCCCAAAGGCAAAGGTTTGTAACGTTTGAACTATAAGCATGGCAAAACGAGAAGGTTGCATGGATGTACCTTTTTTGTCCGCATGGGGTGAAATAACCGTGTGAAATTGAGGCTGGTGGCGGCTGGGTAGACCGCTGCCTCTGCTATGTACATATCTTTGTCTCATTATGTTTTAATCCATCGACAGATAAATAGAGTTATTTTTACCATGGGAGGTGCGCTTGCACGATAAATCCTTGCTTTCAAGGTTTGATACCGTTTGAGTTTGTTCTCTAGTGAGTAGAAACTACAGTGAACATAATGTGAAGATCACTTAGAAGTAACTTAGGTATTTAAAAGTTATGTGAAGAGATTTATCGTTACTTGACTACTGCACGTGCCAAGGTCTTACCTATAGTCGCTATCCTAAAGTAGTCAAACGTAGAGCTATCTGTAGCAGTTTATCCGTGTTTCTCTAGTTATATAATGCTTTCGTGGTTTAGGCCACTAGACCCGTAGTGAAAACTATGCATTGTACATCAGCTACTTCCCTATCCATTTGCTTTCATACGTTTGCACGATTCATCTCTATTCAGCAACTGGATTGCGTGCTATACCTTTTCTTTAGAGTTACCTCGTCTAGTGTAGGGAAGGATCCTGTAAGAGTGAGACCAAGCTTAAAAATATTTTTGACAATCTTCGAAAACTGCCGTTTTAGTTTCTAGTTTCAGGGCTCCCCAATGATGGTCCTTTGGCTGAATCTGAATACGATTGGACTGTTGAAACTGTAGAATTACAACTTTCACAGTTAAACTGCAGAACTGTAAGATTCGTAGTTTGCACTGTCTAACCAATTTTTTTTAATAGTTTGATCTATCTTATTCGCCATTTACAGTTTGTGTAGTCCAAACTGTGAATTATGCCTGTTTGCTGTTTAAACTATAAAACTGTTTAGTTGCACCGTTTAAACCACAAGACCGTAGCCCCGACACAATTCTGGGCTTCCAAGGTTGACTGTAACGTCTAACCATATACCTCAAAAACGCAGGTTTTGGGTCATACGTCTAGAGTTCAAATTCACAGTTTTGTCAGATCGAGCCCAGACCCGTCAAATTGCCATCAGAGGTTGCCCTAAAACCAGAACAACGAAATAAGCATTTTTATAAATGATCGAATAGTTGACCTACACTTTGCTGATCCTTCGCTTTAATTTAGTGAGGTTGGCAGTGTAAAAGGGGCTCCCCTCAAGCAATGACGTTATCTTCCAAGTTATAAATACACTATATTTCCTTATAAAAAAGAAGACTTTGTGATAATGTGAGATGAGATAAAACATTCCTGTTATGCTGTCCAATCTCGGTCAAATAGTTACAATGTATTTAATAATAGGTGGTGTTCTACCCAAAATATTCGACTTGCCCTCTATATCGTGTTTTACAGAGCAGTTTGAATATGACTCAGAATCCTTCTGCTGATTTTAAAGTATGAGAATAGGGATTGTTTCAAACGTGCTCTTACCAAATTATCAACTACTTGTAAACTGTATCACTGGCAATTACATCATAGTGCAGTTCATCATTTTCTAAAATATTCATGTGAACTTTGCAGCCAGGCTCCACCACCAACATCATCTCCATCAACTTCTTCCGCCTGTTTCGCGTCATGAGACTCGTAAAGCTGTTGTCCCGAGGCGAGGGTATACGGACGCTACTTTGGACCTTCATCAAGTCTTTCCAGGCGCTGCCCTACGTCGCTCTGCTGATCGTCATGCTCTTCTTCATTTATGCTGTCATTGGCATGCAGGTGAGCATGACGAGGACTGCATGCGTCGTTTCTGACTTATTTCTTGTACATAACGGTCGAGGTCTTAAAAACATTACTCAGAAACCTATCAGAATACATTTGTACCAGCAGTTATCAATATGATTTGCTAAAATAAAACTTGACATCACGTACTACCACACTGATATTTAAGGTGTGCAACTGACACACACTTTTAAGTGTTTAACACCGTGTGGCATACTTCTATGTGTAGTGCAACACGAGTTTTGAATAGTTGGAAGTGTTCAACAGGTGTTTTGCACACTTTTTAGTGTTCAACTTGAGCGTTGAGCTATAGTTCTCGACGGTCAGGTTGAACATTTAAAAGTGTGCAACACACCTGTTGAACACTTCCAACTATTCAAAACTCGTGTTGCACGCATAGAAGTATGCCACACGGTGTTAAACACTTTAAAGTGTGTGTCAGTTGCACACTTTATATATCAGTGTGCATTCAAGGTGTCCACAAACATTGCATCCACTTTTGTACGTGTTGTGGGTTCTGTGAGAAAGATCCATCCAGAGAACACGGCACCTCTCCCCAACGGGACGTAAATGTGATCTAGATAAAAACGAGTTACATCTGTCTTTAAATTGCATTTTATTTTGCATTGCAGGTTTTTGGGAAGATCGCCCTTAGCTCGGACACGTCCATCACCCGGAACAACAACTTCCAGACGTTCCCACAAGCCGTGCTGGTGCTCTTTCGGTCGGCAACGGGTGAGGCCTGGCAGGACATCATGATGGACTGCTCTGCAAGGCCGAACGAAGTCAAGTGCGACATCGAGTCGGATTCTGACACACCGCTCAACTGTGGCTCGGATCTGGCTTTTCCGTACTTCATTTCATTCTACGTGCTTTGCTCCTTCCTCATCATCAACCTCTTCGTGGCTGTTATCATGGACAACTTCGACTACCTGACTCGGGACTGGTCGATCCTCGGACCACACCACCTAGACGAGTTTATCCGGCTCTGGAGCGAGTACGACCCGGATGCTAAGGGCAGGATCAAGCACCTGGACGTAGTCACTCTGTTGCGGAAGATCTCACCACCGCTTGGTTTCGGCAAGCTGTGTCCGCACCGAGTGGCCTGCAAGGTCAGCAAACAAAATTACCTCTTTCAATTCATCCCGCCGATCTGCTTACAATAGGCAATAAAGCGCCACTGAAAAAGATTTCGTGATTTTACGAAAAAAAGTTACGAAATGCTTGGTATAAAATAATTTACAAAAATATTTCGTAGGTGTCAATTTATAAAACATTTCATACTCCTCCGATAGAGCTATAGATTTTACAAAATGATTCGTAAAGTAACGATGTACCGTAATTTTTGTAAAGCAAAGGTTTCGCAATAAAAAAATTAACCGAAAAAATTACGTAAAATCACGATAATTGTTTTACAATGTGGGCTTATGCAATCGATCTCGTTTTTGTTTGTCACTCTGATCGTCTGTGCCACGAGAAGGAGATGAGCCTATCTTAAACCATACTAAGCTGGCATAGTTTTTATGTGGCAACTTCTTTTTTCTCTCTGCAGCGTCTGGTGTCTATGAATATGCCGCTTAACAGTGACGGCACGGTTCTTTTCAACGCCACCTTGTTTGCTGTGGTGCGCACCTCGCTCAGGATCAAGACGGAAGGCAACATAGACGACGCTAACGCCGAACTGCGCGCTGTCATCAAAAAGATTTGGAAGCGCACCAGCCCCAAGCTGCTGGACCAGGTCGTGCCGCCGCCAGGAGGTCCGTATTGGCTGTCGAAACAGTATCTCCTGAATTTCGTTTTCAGTTTTCAGTCTGATATCGTTGCGCACGCTCTTGACTGAGTCTTTTCTTTTTTTTCTAGTGGATGACGAGGTGACTGTCGGCAAATTTTATGCAACATTCCTCATTCAAGACTACTTCAGACGCTTCAAGAAGAGGAAAGAAATGGAGATGAAGGACACTGACAAAGATTCGCATAACACTGTCACACTCCAGGTATAGTTGATTAACGTTCTGTACCCCTCTCTCATCACTCTTCATCGTTATCTCCAACATGATTGTCTTCATGTGAACATTTTGCTTCTCCTCTCTTAGGCTGGTCTGCGAACGCTGCATGACGCTGGGCCTGAGCTCAAGAGAGCCATTTCCGGCAACCTTGAGGAAATGATGGAGGACAATCAGGAACCTTCTCACAGGGTAAGGTTTTGCCGCCCCCTAGATCACCCTCTTTGCCCTCTTACGCCATAAACCTAACTTCCTTAACCTCGGTCACCGCTTACTATACGTGCAGTTTCATGTCCTAAGCGTAATAACTCTGTCTCTCTCGAACCTCTGCAGCGCAACCATTCACTGTTCGGCAGCGTTTGGTCATCGATGCGGCGGGGTCACGGTGGCTTTAACCGTGCCCGCTCCCTCAAAGTGAACCCCACGCAGATCAAGGTAAGAGCGTGGTGATACCACCGGCTGAATACAACACACAGTCGTCGATGATCTCTGTCGAAATTCCCCATTTTCGCCTAATGTTTTAGTAGTTCCTCTTTTATTTTTTAATATTGTTTTAATTATATGGTGAGGGTAGTGTGGTTGTTTGAGAGTGATTTGTTTCATATTGACAAGTTCAGATCAGGATCCCGTCGTTAAAATACAGCTGCTATTGTTTCACAGATGATGCACTTGGATGTACCAGGGAGGAACCTTAGAAAGGTAGCAAACGGTGCATGTTTATTTCCTTTGCTATAAAACGAGTAGATAATACGGCAACACATTACGCTTCGTCACTTTTTCCAGCACTGGCTATTCTACTGAGATAGTTCCAACGAGTTGCCACCTTCTGTCCTGGCATTCCAAAATGCCTGTTTTTAATGGACGTAACATATGTCCTAAGACGTTATTTTTATATTTCTGTCTGTAAATCCAGGAGTTAAGTTTCTCAGTCAAGATAGAGTGGTAATGTGAATACCGTTTTTTGTTACAATATCCTGAGGTGGCTGCTAATACCTCTAATTTTGGGATGTTCCATCAGTCAATAAAATAATTGAGCTGCATTCATTTTCCACGTTTGTTCTATTTGGACAAGAAACTTGGCTTGACCGATTTCAGGGCTATCGTATTCTTTCTTTTTCTTTCCTTCTTCTTTCTTTCCATCATTCTTTCTATCCTTCCCCCCACGCTCTCTATCTCTCTCTCTCTCTCTCTCTCTCTTTAATTCCTGTATTCTGCCTGTCTATTGTCTCTTGCTGTATTTCTTAGACACTGAAGTACTTTGTTAGGCCAAACGCCTCTTTTGATCCACTCTTCGTCAGGACTGGTGACCGTGCCTATGTTCACTTCTGGTCAAAGTCCTTGTATGAATTTGATGGTGATTTGTGCAACTAGTTGGCAGTCTGACTTTGAAGCAGGGGAAGCTCTGCATGATAGACAAGGGTGGATGGAAAACCTCGTGGGATTTCGTAAACACACTGTAGCGGATGTACGCGTATGGGCGAGAAGCCTTTGCACTCGCGACCACTCAATGTCCTCTCAACGCCTGCGTTCGGTACAGTGTAACGATCAGATCTGACGGGGTTATCTTTAACCACCCGATATTATGAGTAGAGCTAAAATGTATCTTATCGTAATTGCACAAATTTGCTTTCACAGTGCTATCAACTATGAATTACATCTCTCTTACGTTCTCTTTCACCTGATTCGTCTGTCGTTTTATTGACATTTCGAAGTTGGTGTAGGGGAATGAAGGAAGGAGATATCTGCTTTGAAGAGGCAATACAGCTAGAAACGCCTCGTTTCGTAGCAGTACACTTGAATATACCATGACGGAACAGTTTAGCAATTTTGCCGCATAATACTGCAAGTATAATTATAAAGTTGGTATAGTCAGCGTTGGGTGAAAAAAAACACGAATGATACTTTTAAAATAAAACACCCCTTCAACAGTTGTGTAATCAGTATTTAAACATCATGCCGTTAGTCGCTCAACTGTTTTTCTCCTGGGTCCAAACAAAAATTGAAACGTTGCTAATATTTTGAAGAAAAAAAAGGCATTTTTCACCCTCGCTGACTGTTTAGTGTGTAATTTGTCTTCAACGATGCTAGAGCGTCGAGAACCAATCGCACGGTATCCGTACTGTAAGTAGTTTAGGAGCACTCCAATGACGAGCACAAGTTGGTGACACCAACATGATTCCAGATTTTCTTGTAATTTGGTGCAAAGATAGCTCACAATTCACCTATCTGCTATGGACGAGGTAAAGGCCAGCCAGCGCACTCTAGGGGTGAAATTGGAAAGTAATCAAACAGCATAGCATCTTAGGCAGCTAATAGTCCTAGTCTCTCCCACGTTAGTGACCGGGAGGAGAGCGGTTTGATGGTAAATATCTTCAAAACAGAATAAAGTAGTTAATGGGTGATCTGACTGCTTTGGCCTTTTGCCGCAGGTTTCGCCTACAAATTCCATCGACTACCTTCCGTACAACGCGTTACAGCGGGCCGTCAACGATGGCATGAACCACATCACTGCGCTCACCAAGTCAGCCCTCGGTCCTGGGTAAGAGACCCAGCTTTCAATTATAGGTTCTTTTCAGACACTGAAAAACAATTAGCTTTGTAAATTTGTGAAATTTTCCACGATTTGGTTTGGTAAATTTGAAAAGGGTTCTTTCTGTTTCCGGACGGTATCGCAAATAAACGATTTTCTCTTCAAACAAGACCAAGTTGATTTATTTTAATTATTTATTATATTCATTCGTAATTTTAAATTTCAAATCGAAAATTTTCAGCTTTAATTTACGATATGGGCAACTTTACGACATTTACCGTGGAGATTTTTCGGGGGGCTACGATAAGTTTTCTCACATTGCTATGCTCGGATCATGTTTTTCACTCAAAATACCTCTTCTTTGCCTCCAGGGCGCTGTCAATGCAGGACGTTGGCTACAAGGGTGGCGAAAACATACCCATGCGACCTATAGCGGTGCCCAATGGCGACCCAGATAGGGCTTACGGGACTTATCACGAGTAAGTAGCTGTGAGCTGCTTTATTTAGGCCTCGATAGATGTATTCTTTTGTAGTATTATAGCTATCCAACAATACTTGACGTGGCCGTGACCAGGAGGGGGTTCATTTTGAGCTAGGGACTATAGGCTAGTGTTTCCTGGGTAATTTCCTGCTAGAGCCACACGACGTACGTCCTCCGGACCTGCAAAGGCAGCGTCCCATCGTCCTAACTGCCTTGCTGTTAATGTTACCCGCTCTGACTTCGTTTCCAGAAAACCAGGAGGGGTAACTTTCCTACATCCAAATAGTTATGGTAAGAGTCTTGACCCGCGTTCTGTTGCCATGCGTCGAATTACACGCTAACACGTCGGCTTGTGTGGTGGTGGAACTAACCCAAGGAGGATTTAACAACCCCAGCAGGGCAGGCCCCAGTATGTCCTGTTGTTAGCGCGTGTGTGCATGTGTGTGCGTGTGTCGCAGAGCCGAGACAGAGCTGACGACGCCGGCCTCGCTGCGACTCCGAGGTTCCAACAAAGAGGTGTCCCTGGGGGCTGGCACCCCGGGGACCACCGGGACTCCAGGGGCTGGCGCGGAGGGCGCCTCGGACGACGGCGAGGCCTGGAGCCGCATCGCCGGCGGCCTCAAGCTGGCCCAGACGCAGGCCATGGCCGTGGCTGGCTTTCTCCAGGACGCGTCGGCGCGCACCCCTCCCAACGGTGCCCCCGCCGTTGCTATCGCAGTGGTGGATGACGTCAGGGTGGAGGTCGCCCTCGACGCGTCCCCACTACGTCTGCAGACGAGGTCACCACCGCCGCCTCCCTCGACGGGTTCCCCGAAGGGTTCTCCGGCGGTTTCCCCGACGGGTTCTCCGAAGGGGCCGCCGAGCCCCGACGCGGCGGTGGACGTGGGCCTGGCGGGCGCACTGGCGGGGGTGCGCCGCTTCAAGAGGAGCAGGACGACGGGGCGGCCGGGCCGGCGCTCCGTCACTGCCAGCGCTCCGGAGCTCGTCGCCAACCCGCTCACGCACAGGGCCTCGTTTCACGGACGAGGTGTGTGTTGTTTTGTTTACCCTTGCTTGTGTTTTGCATGCACGCCCTCGAGCCAGCCGAGGAGGGCCGCGGGGTCGTAGCGCGCCTGGATGAGGCATTACTTTGCTGCTGCCGTGTCTGCACCCGCTCACGCCCTGACACCCATGCTCTTCTGTCTCTCTCGCTCACAGGGACGCAGCCCATGGGCGCCAACGGGGACATGTCACTCGATCGGGCGAGGAGCGCTCAATCCGTGCCTTCCAGCCCGGCGGACAGGCGGACCAACTTCTCGGGGGTCGTTGGCTCGGCCGAGAGCCTAGTTGGGAGAGTGAGTTTTCATCCTCCTTAATCATTGCGTAGTGAAAGTTATCGTAATGCGATACCTACGTAATTTGGCTTAAGTTATATGTCACTAAGTTATCAAAAATTAACGGAGAAATAACATCAAACTAAAAACAAGCAAATGTTCATGTAAGAATTTTATTTAAAAGAGTTTGTTAAAAAGCCATGGCACTTCCCATTAGAACCATGCTGATGTTGAGTATCGGGTCAGAAAGTACTTCCGTCGTTCGCCGTTCAGTGGCGTATTAAGGTGGGGCGGACAGGGGGGGGGGGTGCATCGAAAGTTGCCTACATACAGGGGTTTTGTAGGTCAAATTGCCTACCTTTAGGCGGCTATCTAGTGGTCCACAGGGGGGCGATCGCCCCCTCCCCCCCCTTAATACGCGCCTGTCGCCGTTACGAGCCAGCTAAGCTCAAAATGCAAGCAGCTCTCATAGAGCGCCTGATAGGTAGGCAACATCATGTTTGCCGTGCATGCTTGTACTGCGGAGTGGCCTACCTTGAGTCTTGCAGGCGTCAAGCTTCCGTAATTTGCCGATTGATTATGAGAAAAACGGAATATGCGATCTTTGCGACTAAGCACTAGTAAAACAGAAGAAGGGCAGAATAGGTTTGCAATGGCATTGAGTCCTACGTTTGTTTGTCCAGTGAAGTCGCTCAGAATGGAACCTAGGTAGATGTGTTAAAGCTATATAGTGTTGCCACCGACCTATGTCTTATATTTTCCATTCCTCTCTTTAAAAATCTCCTCATCTTGCAGGTGCTTGCTCAGCAGGGATTGGGCAAGTTCTGTGACCCCGAGTTCGTGCGGAACACTTCTCGCGAGATGCAGGAGGCTCTTAACATGACCCAGGAGGAGATGGACCAGGCGGCCCACCAGCTCCTGGCTCAGGAGCGCGACGGTCGGGGCCCGATAGTGTTCAGTGAGCAGGTGTACCCCGTACCTCCGCGAGGCTTCAGCCCTCGTGGGCCAAGCCCACACTTCTCGCCAGGATATTCACCGGGCCCACATGGACCGCAGGGCCAGGGGCCGGGCTGAAAAGAAAGAATGAAACTGTGCCTTTTATCCGACTCACATCGGATTCTTTTGTGAAAATTGACTTTTTTGTAAGGAAAAGAAAGTGTTCAAGTGTTGCAACTATTTTATATGACGCGTAATAATATTTGTTATGTTATAATTAACAGTTGAATGATTTGTACAGTTGAGTGTCAGAAAGAATTTCCCTTTATGTTATACATATCTAAGTTTTTAGAAATCAATGTGTCAGTACTGGCAGGCCCAGTTGAGACACATCAAATCAAAATGTATACTATGTCTGTGACAAAACTGATTGTTCTGTGAATTTTGGTTATTTATTTGAGGTACCAGCCTTGCACGTCTCCAGGGGAACTTTTTGTCTCTCCATTAGTCCCACTGATGCTGAGACTCTGGAGTGACATCAAAATAGGGTGAAGGTTTAATTATTAGTGACATGCCACTCATGCACAACCGTTAAGCGCACATTCAAGTTGTTTATGATCGGATAATTTTGATACATATTATGTATATTATACTGTCCACTAATTACTACTATAGTATATACTCTGGATTCGTGCCAATCTGTTATCTTAAAAATCTTTTGTTGTTTTTGTAAAAGAAAAGTTCCTCAATTGTATGACTTTGTAAGAAAATTTTTAATTTGTTCTTCAAAGACCAACTCTCTCATTCAGAATGTTGTGATTTTTCTATTTGTTATTTCTCTAAAAGAGCTTGTATTCAAAATATGTATAGTTCTTGTATATTGTATGAGAGGCCCAAGACGTTTCGGTGTTGCAATGACCAATCAACATAACGCGCCACCGAGAATTTCTGTTCAAAAATTACGTTGCTTTGAATCAACCGAGTTTTTTTCCGTCCTGTTTAATGCCAACTGACTCTCAAAATTGAATGTTTTATGATTTTGCCATTTTCCATTTTGTACAATTGAAAATAAAGGCTGCAAGAAAGTGATAGGTGTAAGATGTGTACCCTCTGATTTGATCTGAGCACCTCCTTAATCGCTGCAACGGGTTAATAACTTCGTGGACTATCTGCCGGGTTTCCGGGAGAATACACGGCAGCTCGATGGGTTGCCTACGCACTGGCGCACAGGCGCGAGGAGGGGGGGGGGTGAAAAAGGTGGCGGGAGGCAACTGGCCGCCTCCACGTCCCTGTTTGTAGCGACACAGTTCTAGCTATACAACCGACACGGCCACTGACAGCTTTGTCAGGACCGACTGTAAAAATAAGTCCGCTCGGCGTCGTAAGGTCTCAGAGCCGACCTGAAGTCCAATCCAAGTAGATTTGGGACACTGGCGTGATCACTGGCGTGCGTAGGGCATCCACATTTTCATTCGTAAGACAAGGGCTCCACTATGTAGATCGTACAACCCATGGGGTTCACAGTGGGTGAAAGTAACTCTTTTGTGTGACGTCGGTTAAGAGATGTATAAAAGACCCAACATTAGGCAACAAACAATCTTTTATTGGTCGGGAAACTGTTTCAAGGAGACGCAACAAGTTAACATTTTCTCCACCGCACATGCATTAATAGCATTCAAATATTAATCCTTATACATATTGCATTATTACTATAAATATATTACAGAACAAAACACCAGCAGACAGTGACAGCTTTCTTCATTATAAAATATTATTTTAAAACAGATTACAATCATCATGTCCCATATAATGATGTAAGCATAAAATGGCCACGGTTCAGTAACTTGGGAAATACCCATATAACTAAGCTAATTTTTTGAGGGGATTCAGTCCTTCATCGTGCAGTCAAGTGGAGTATTAACTTTGCCTCTCATAAAATGCAAAACTTTCGATGTCGCAGCTCTGATAGGCAGGAGAAAACAGGAATTTCAGGTCATCAGATAACAGAAATTTTATGTTACTATTTTAACAGTACATTTTACAATGTTTACAGTAACAAATAAGATTTAGCTCAAGAATAAAAAATATTTCACAATAAGAAATTTAGGTATGAATATTGGTTTTCTCGCACGGTTTAGTGCCTACCTTTCCAGAGGTAATTTTTAAGTTTTCGTGAGAGATATGCAGAAGAGGAAGAAGAAAAGCGATGGATTGAAATAATACTTTTACTCTGAACTTGTAGGCTACTATTTTGCCTTTCGATTCTCTTTGAAAGGACTCATTTTCTGTGCTTTACTACTTTCAACACTACAGCAGACCTATGTATAGAGGAATTGTGATGACAAAATAACAATGCAAAGATAGAGATGTTTTCCATGAGAAAATTGATTCTGTTGGTACGTAATCGTACAATCTAACAAACTTCCCATTTAACAATTGTCTCTTTGTGATCTGTATTATTTTCGTATTTCTGCCTGGCACTCACCAAGTGCGAAATAGTGCCAAAATGCTAGTTTCTTAATTACATTACCACAATCAGAGAAACTTTTGAATCCCGACCTTAGATTAAAAGGAATACAATGTCCATATTCCCCAAACTGGAAAAAAAAATGAAAAATTCAACAATGTTTTGAATGATTCTTTCACAGTCAAAACTATGTCCCATAACAGGAACCCGTCAAAACAACAGTGCATAAACCAATGCACATGATACATGAAAAATATAGAAGGAACTACATTAACAACTGGGCCAAGTAAGCTATTGGCCCTAACTAAACCTGTCTCAAGATTTTGGATTATTCACGAAAAAACGATATGCTTAGTTAACAGAAATTTTATCGGATCTGTTCATCTTGCTAAGTTATCATCCCGTAATGCATAATGTTTCTATTTATTATGAAATTATGTGAATGAGCATCAAAACACCAAAGAAAATTTTCCGTACAATGCACAAATATCCGCTTTCATAGATCCTGAGTCATCCTATTGTCTAGCCTAGGGTAAAATGCCATATGAAATATTTGATTCACAAGTATCAATAAAAGCAAAAGAACAATACATTTTAGTTTCCACTCAATCAGGGGTTGGGGAGCAGCAATCATTAGATCAAAAAACTTCCAATGAAAGACAATAAGAGATCATCAGCATTTATTTCTGGGGATCCAGCACCCTGATTCTTGCCCTTTACAATATAAAGAGGATACACACAAGTGGGGGAGGGGCCACTCAGTCTCCTATTATCTCGTGATGTGCATTAAATAGCCGCCTACAAATGGAACGGTTATCACCATCACCTCCAGTAAAGATAGAAACAAATATCCATAAGTATAAAATTCAACACTAACAATCGTAAAATATTTTTTCCAAATTTCTTTTATTGCAACCTATACTGAGAACACATGTTGAAGCAGATTTTAATCAAAACTGCATTTCTTTGACTTTTCTCTTTTACTTTAAGGTCAAATAAACATTTCAAATAGTGATATTTCCCTAACGTAGATTTCTTGTATGAAACTGTAAAATGGAAGTTCTGCTAGACACCAGCGCAATCCGTTAGCGTAAAAGCTACATTAGCTTCCCGATAATATCTGCAGTTATGGTCTTTATTGAACTTAAAAGCGAGAGAACACGAATGAAAAAACTGGCTTGGTAACAGCAGGATTTTGAGCAGCGTCCAAGACTTCAAGTACTACATATATCAGTGTTTGGTGGAACATTCAGAGCTCTCTTGAGGGCACCAGTAGGAATGGCATAGGGCAAAAAATGAAGACTGGAACAGTCAAAAAATTTAAAGGACTGATTTACTACGTTACAAAATAAGCGTCTTCAAGTTAATTAAAAATTAGCTTGTAACAATAGGAACATTTCGTAGATCAAATCAAAACTATTATGACGCAGTTATAAAAAAAATCTCAACCAATTTTGAATTGGGTACTAAATTAAAAAGAATGAGCGTAAATTTTTAGAATATCTTGACGTTGCATCCTTTACACGCCCAATTTCTTTGCCCATCCTCTTGAAGGCTAACATTTGACAAGTGAAACTGAAAACGTTTCCTAGGGAGAAATTCTGTCGGTTTGGTTGGAATCGACGTCGTTTTGACTGAATTTGATCCCTTAAATCGACAGATTCTCGAGATCAACCTCAAATCGATAATGCGATCGATTGATTGGTGGGATTTGACATATCTTACTGTGGTTAAAATATAACACCAGGCAGCTCAGGAAACAAACGAGTGGAAGGGGTCGATTTCAACGTTCTCTGACAACTTGAAAAACAAAAGAGGTGTTAACATTTCCCCCTTGTTTGCATGCAGACATAATCTACTATTTGGCGAGATTCATAAGAAGAAAAGAAGTAATTGTTTAAAAATTAATCTACATTCTGAATTAGAAGAAAGATTCGACAGAGTATATTTTCCCTTCTCGGGATGACCGAAAAACATATCTGATTCTAGCATGTCAAAAATTAGCAATCAAAAAACTCGTTGAGTTCATCCATCGAGAATATTATGAAGAAATATAGAAAGAGAAAGAGAGAGAGAGGAGAGAAAAAATAGACACGTAGCAGGAGACAATAAATCGCCATGTAGGAGAAATTCTGAGACAGATGAATAGATAAAACAATGAGGGTACGTACACACATACGGTGCACCTCGGCCTGTCCACTGTCCACAGCAATGATAACGGATCACTTTGTAAGTATAAGTATAAATTATATCATCCCTTTTCATAAATATCGTAAAATTCATAGCAACTTTCAACACATTTACAAAAAATTTAAACAGCACTTTGTTATCTAGATAATTTTGTCAATAACAAAAAGTATATACATAGCAAAGGGCTCAAAGAAACAACCCAGCTCAAAAATATGTACACTACTTCTCGCAACAGATTTCTGTCGGTTAATACTTTACTCTCCCCTACTCTTAAAAGGCGTTGGGTTAAGTAATCGCCAACCTGAGGCGCTATGTATGTATTTATAATATATACATGAGACGTATTGTACTGATAGCTTTTGTGCCCACCTCTAATCTATTTGACCTAATGTTTGGGGCATGTCGGACTCAGGGACCGGAATGGCCCTCTAATCACAGAAACAACTGCAAGAAACATAGCCATGCAAGGTTTGTCTAGAATTCCCTAGAACGCTATTCCAATACACGATTTGTCGATACATCTTGTTTCATAAAAAGAAACAGGAAAACATAGGTCGAACCCGCCGATAACAAATCATTTGGAGAATAGGCAAAACCCATAGCAGTTTAATATTGAAAATTAGGCCATTATCTTGCTCTTTTCTGTTCACCGTTGGCAGTCTGAATTCTTTTAGGCTTCCTCGTTCCTTACTTTCAAGCTTAAAACCAGCTGCCCCCGCCAAACTTACTTGCCAGGCCCCCAAAGCCCTTGCCCACCACATCTCCCATTTTCCCCGCAACGTTAGTAGTAAGGTTGCTTAACTTCGCTACCACGTTTCCGTCCTCGCCGATTGTCTCCCGGATCGTCACTTTTGGCTTGCTTCGCTCACCATCATCGTCCATGCCCGAGTCTGTATAGCTGTAAGCAAAGAAAGGATTCATTCTTTTGAGGCCCACGGCCAGTAGAAGTACATATGTATCATAAATTTTGGGCTAAAATTATCGCAAAACCATCTTGAGTGATAAAGACCTAAGGATTTGAGGCAACCGCAGTGGTATGCTGGGCTTTACTGTTCAAACCAAACAGCTACAGCCGGAAGAACGGGCTTCGGGGTGTTTCCTCAGTGGAGGGTGGAAGGACACTAGACGGAGGGGAGAACTTACTCGTCAGCTTGGCTCATGGTTAGCGCACAGGTAGCCTCTTCGGTCTGCATCCGGCTGGCCACGGTCTGGTAGGTCTTTGAGTTAAGCTTATCCTCGATCACACCTTGAAGTTCGAAGTCGGTGTACATTTTCTGAAATGGACATAACGGGATTTGGATTAGACCTGGGTCGGCCAGCGAGATGTTTTCATAAGGAGCACTGTGTACCTTGACGATAATGGAGAGGCACTGGCATTGGAAAACATGAAGCGAGTGGTCCAGTCGCTCACCGAGCCAATTGCAAAGGACTTGCACCTGCTGTGTATACCATTGCTGCCAAGACGAAGAACAATGCCAACTGTCAGTATGATGTGATTATAATGCGTGAGAAACCTGCGGGTGTCGTTGAAATTCTTGTCGTTCAAAAAGGCTCAAATTGTGAATGTGTCCATTTTCGGAAAGGTGGGATTAACCTCATTTTGAGCCTGTTTGAACGAGGACAATCGTCGGCCGGTGGAGGTTATTTTGACAACCACGTGGGGAAAAAAGGTAACGTGTCACCACGTCTATTACTCCACTCACCTCAAAGAAATTGAGGATCCAGAGCTCGTCCGTGATTTTACTACGAATCTGGTCCATAGCGTTGCGCGCGAAGTTGACGTATGCCTGTCCCATGTCCTTCCCCGAGCCAGAAACATTCTGAAACACAATTGCTCTGTGATTTTTTACTCGTTCTTTACCATACCACCATCATCTACTTGGTGGTACAAAGAACGAGTATTGTTCTCAGTGCATTGTGACACCTTAACTGATCCCACTTTCATCACAGAGCACAGAACACCTACAGATTTAAGTTTGCTGTCATTATGAAACGTAAACACTGTTCTCAAACGAAATAATGAACTTTGTTTTAGTTTTAATAGCATTTTTTTGAGATCTCTTAACAAATTTTGCACATTTTCATTTTAAATCCCTAACCCTGCTTATAACTGGACACCTTTATAAAGGTGAGATATATCTCAGAAGACACATCTCCTTCAAACTTGAAAGTAATACTATTCAAGATTAGGAACCGTGCACGCAGAAAAAAAGTTCGCCCAAGGGCTTACAAAATAGCACCGGTGCTAATTTTCACTGACCGAATAGACTCAGCAGAGCAGCGCGACCAGTCCTTCCCTGTACTTTCTACCCAAATAAACCCTCATTCGTTATCCACTGCCAGTGCCCTGACTTTTCAGGGGATCATTTTGCCAACAGTGTTGCATCTCGAGCGGGCCGGCTCTGAAATTTTCCTACCTACAAAACCATACATAGAAATATTTTTCAGAACTAGCCCGCTCAAAATGTCAACACTTTGCGCAAAGTGGTACTCTCTACTGATTTGTCCCCATTGCCCCTACCCACCAACACGACATGTTAAGGGTTACACGACTACACTCAGGACAATACTTGTTCTCTTGCAACCAAATGTACTGACATAAAGTGTAATATCTGTAAAGAATGAGTTTCATCTTTCACACAAAATTAATTTTGTGTTTTCCTTCCCCCTTGTTTTTTCATAAATAAAGTCGCTGATCATAAACTGACTGCCATAACTTCAGAAGCAACAGCCCTTAAGCAATTATTAAGACATTATAAGAAAATATAAATAGTTTTCTTGGACTTTACCGTGAAGCTGAGTATAGATCCAATGAGGCTTCCTTCGTCGTAGCGACCAAGCTTGGAAAGTGTGGCCTCAAGGACGGACACAAGCTTCTGAATCAGGCCCTGACTCATGCTTGTAAGTGTCTTCTCAATCAGGTCGTCGATCTTGGTATGGTACTGGTGCTGCAACCCATTGACGTAAGTAAGGCGACTTTTGGTTGATACGGCAAAAAGCAAATACAACGATCATCAGCAACGTTGCTTATGAGTAGAAGTAGGCATGTTTTTCTTTCAACCGTATTTAAATGAGGGCAGTGGCTATAAAGAAATACACTTCACGAAAATACTCTGATAAAGTCATACACAAGTTGTCCAGTTTTAGGAACTAATTTGTATCCGGTTTTGATGTCCACAGAAACGTTGCAGTTTCAGGAACAGAATTGCTACTTTTCATTTATAGTTTATAGACGCGAAGCAACGCTCCCCATAGCAGCAGCCGCAATGTACTGGGTAGGCCAGCCCGCTAAACATGTGTGTCGTCCACAAGCGGTGGGCTACTACGGGAACGAGACCCCCCCCCCCCCTTCCCTCCCAAGGCGCGTTTGGCACCAAACGTCCCCTTGCCAGAGTCCCTTAAATATGTGGGGTCCGACGACAAGATACAATTTCCACGTAGCTACTTGGTGGGTTTGCGTACCCGAAGCGTTGCAGGCGCCATACATTAAGCATGTAGGCAAAGTCAAAACGCGGACAAAGTTTCACGGACCCTCGCCTCTGAGGTCTGTAAAAATAATGCTGGCCGTCCGGCCGCCCATCCGTTCGTGACCCATTGCGATAGAAAGTGTGGGTAAAACATCGAAATCAGTCCTAAAAATGAGTATGTGTTTTAAATATTTCGACTTGGTTTTATTTAAATTTCTGTGCGACGTTTGGTTCTAGAGAAGCGAGCGTTTCAATGTATGAAACAAAGGGAGGTTAGCGGCAGCCTCAGTTGGCGCATGCATTCAGGAAAACGCTTCGTTCTCGAGAACCAAACCTCGTAGAGACATTTGAATAAAACCAAATCGAAATAGTTTAAGCTTAAACGCATTGTTAGTTCCGATTTAGGTGTTTAACCCACACTTGCTATCGCAACGGGTCACAAACGTACGGGCGGCATTATTCTTACAGACCTCCGGGATACTTTGTCTACAGCCGCCGTGTGGATAAACATTCATAGGCGACCCACGACATTGAAATAGGCAGGGGCATGGGTACATTTTCATTTTAAAAGGTGGGCGTTTGACACCACACCATAAGTACATTTATCAAAATCCAGGATGCTAAATTAAAAAAAACACACACAAATAAATGTAAACGGTTGTCTAGAAAGTGAAACGCTCTACTTCACCCTCAAACAACGTGAAGTCACAACAATGGCATCTACCGCGCAAAGTTTGAAGGACTGGTTCTTGGCGTCCAGAATCACGTTGACCATCGCGCACATCTCAGACGGGAGAATGTAGTCCGTTGAAATAAATGTGACTCCTTTCTTGAGCCAAGACTGGAACGCTGACTCAGTGCGCGTGATGCATGATTCAATCATGTCGCAGGCCATCAGCTTCAGCCGTTGTTCGAGGTGCTGGCGAAACTCGGCATCCGGCCAATGCAGATCGCGAATAAACGACTGCAGCGCATCCAGTTTCCAGAAGAGATCCTCTGACGTGCAACACCCGTTTCTACAGGCAGTGAAATATATTGTAACCCAGCACGAAACTCGGTCTGCAAGTGTCAGCCGGAGGATAAGGGCTTACCCTTTAAGCTCCCACCGCTCCTTTTCAAAGCCCTTGTGGATTGACTGCGCGATTGAAGACTCCATCAGGTCCACGTAACGCACCACTAGGGGCGCGAAAAGCTCGCGCAGGTGCTGGTGGAAACGGCCGTTCTTCAAGTTGTCTGCGGGGCACAACTAGAATTAGTTTAAAAGTGACAGGGGAGGTAAAGCTCGCCACACACATCACCCACCGTCTGCTCGGAGATAGTCGTTGAGAATTTGGAACAAGGGAAACGAGTCCCAGGTGTCGGGCTGCTGCTCCGCTAGAACCTGGTCCATGTCAACGGCGAAGAATCCCCAAAAGATCTCAGCGTGTTCGACCAATAGATCGCTGAACCACGCAAAAGCCTGGGGAAGAACGAAGTGTGCTTTAGTGGATCATCTAGAGCAAACACCTAACGAGAACAAAGCGATATGAAATTTTGTTCACAAATATTTGTTTTGCCTAGTTATCAGTATAATGAAACGGGCGTTCGCAAATAAAGTAATTTTTAAAGTACTTAACTAAGCTCTTTTGTTTCAACTCGCGGTTAGTTATCACCGAGTCTATACATATTCAGATGAAGCTACAGTTATGTTTTATTACTCTACGGGCTAGCCCTGATATATCTACGAAATAATTTTCGACATGTTTATTCCTACAAGCGAAAATTTAAACTGATTGGTCTCTTCTACTATAGTTATTTTTATTCATTGATACCACGAAAAAAGGATCTACAATATAGATAGCATAGTGACTTGAGGAGGAACAATATTCGCTAGTAGGTTTTAACTGCGGGCTCTTAATAAATTATTTTAGGAGTAATTTCAGTACATTTTCGACGAAATACTATTCTTACAGGTGTTTTCCTGATATTACATACAACGAGACCGTTTACCGTTTAGATCAGAGTTGGGATTTTAAGGCAAAGCAAATGCACCTACTCGACTTGGCCGAGCAAAACCCACGCAGTTGCCCCGCAAAACTTTGGTGGGTTTTCTCGGCCAGTCGGACTATATTAGTGTTCTGTGGAGCAGTGCTGCCGCCGGTCGAAGCGTCTGTTTGACGCATGCCATGCAGGGCAGCAGTTTGGCTATAAATATTTGATAGAAAGAAAGAGATAGAAAGAGTAGAGCTCTGGAACCCGTCATTACAAGCTGGTTTCACTTCCGTTTGGATCTACAGACCGGTTTGCTGTTTAACTGAATTCTTTGTCACACGGTACCAGATACAGAGCTTTTGCAGGACTAAGCATGTGCAGTGCTGTGCACCATCAAACCGTGGAGTGCTTTACGTCTACGTTTTCTGGTTAAAATAGAAGTGAAAGACAAAGTGGACGTTGCATATTGTGGGGAAGTGTTTTGCACACAGGTGTTAGTTACTCTTCAAGAGGTGTTTGATATAATCTGCTGCAATGCAGGAGAAGGGTTTTCAGAGGACTCACGAAGAGAACGGGCTACTTTTATAAAGGTTTCTTTTCACATGATTGTCTCCGAGTCAGGTGAGTGGAGGGTTTAAGGTAATAGATTCTCAGATATGGTTGGACCTATGGGTGGGGTTGGTGGGTGTCGGATAGGAACGATGGGATTAGTTTCAAAAGGCGCATGCCGTGAACAGCACGGCGCGTGTTTAGCACATGCGTGGCGCGTGCAGAGCACGTCTTGCCTAAAAGCGTGCACGCATGCAACATTACCTAGCCCATCTACACTTTACTTACTTTGTCCTGAAAACACCAAAGACAGCAGGAAGAAAACACTTTAGAAAGACAGTATAAGCTACACGACAGTAAAAGCACATCCATTATTCTTTTAAACAAAACATAATTCCTCATTTTTAATATTTGCCTCCCTGTAGGCTCTAGGTAGTCACAAGAAATCGTACGTATTCGGAATGAGTCACATATTAAAACAGACGATTATTTACTAAAACAGGTCATTTGCGAAACAACAATAGTGCTGGAGTATGGTCATAACAGAAGAAATAAATGTCCAAATCATTTACATAAAATAAATCAGAAACCAAAAAGAACACTTACCATTCGGTAAGCCTATGACCACACAGCCAATGAAACGGCACAGAAAAAGAGAGAGAAAGAAAAGAAAGTTAGTGCAAGACAGGACAACACACAACAGCACAACGAACGAAACACAGCCAACTGTAACCAGGCATGAAAAGACAGAAAGAGACAGACGATGGGTAAAGAGAGAAACAGAAATCAATTACGCGAAATTAAGTGAAATAGAGAACTGTAAAAGCGAGATTGTAGGAATGTTTACTCCAGGGAGCTTTGAAGAAAACGTCAAATTTGTTTTGAAATGAGTATTTAAAGCAATGGGCAAGGAGTACAACTTATGTACACACACATCAAAAGCTACAGTCTACTTTTTTCGACGACAGTCAGCAAACGAAAGAGCATGCAGCACCTTCAGGAGTAAACTTAAACGGAAAGATTAAGGCACCTACTCATGACAATTGAGCCAGCAGCTCAATCAGATAATCCAACCAATATTAAAAGGTCACGACATGATTGAGGTTATTTGTAATAATATATTACTAATATAATATAATGTGCGTGATAGCCACACATCAATTTGGAGGAAGAGAGATGAAATCCACATGATTCAATGGAAAAACATGATCATATGTAAACATGCAAAAGGGTTATCTACCGGAAGCTAGAAACATCCAAAGACTCGCAAATCTATCGATTGCAAAAGGAAGAATTCCATTTTCACGCGAGTCACAGGTTTACCCAACACACAAAGCCACAAGGGGAAGTGTATCGGGTGGAAGACACTGACACAGGCAAACAAAAAGGATATTTCAAAGCGCTTCGTGCATCTGTTCACATTTCAAAGCATAGCATTTATCACGCACTCTTTGAAGAGTTCGAACTTAATTCAAAAGGAAAAGGAAGGAATCGTGAGAAAGGTTACATGGGAACGAATTTGGGAATTCGGAGTAAATTCTACAAATGGAAGTGGAAATGACGTCTCAACAAAACTTAAGATGTTTTGCATGTCTACGTTGATCAAGGTTACCTTATACCAAACAAAACAATGGATTTAAATCGTGTACCGCAACGATCAGTTTAGTAGGACGTAAGTGTGTTAAAATGTTTTTGTTATTTTGTTTTAACCTGTAAATAGAATTTTAGGAAAACAGTAGTTGTCGCAGTTGTTTTTTCGTCACACTTGTGTCATGTCTTCCAGAAGTTTGTGCGACATCCTTGCTTTAAAACTCGTTGAACATACCTCCGCGTAGTGCTCTTCATTCTGTTGTAGGAGCTCCACGCAACTCTGGGCTAGGGTGATTAAATCTTCTAGTTTCTTGCTAGGTGGGACCATCATTTCGCCGCTCATATCGTCTACGGAGAGGAGTAGTATACAATGTATTAGGAAGTAAAAGTAATAATAACAAATATTGTAAACAATTAAAGAGATCTTCGAAAAGAGGCAGTGGATAGGTGAAAAAAGCGAAGGTAGTCAGGTTTTAGGCGATAGTAACGAAGAGACGGAGTAGAAATCTCATCTGAAGCGATAAGGGAGCTCTTCGCTTCTACCCCTTCTCGCTTCTACCCTCATTTACTTGTGTTTGCTTGCGTTTAACACTAACATCAGCAACAAAAAAACTAGTCAGCTACAGAGCAACGTACGCGATGATTACCTTGCATTTGCATGGTTGGCTCGCCACCTTGAGAAGACACAGAAGATATCAAAGTTATACTTCAGACCTGAGTGCCGTGTCTAGGTAGAGGTATAGTATTGCGATGGGGGATAATATTGATACAGGCCCTATCGCTTCGGCCCTAATGTTTAATTAAATTTACACAGCACGAGTTTAATACTTGATCGTTATTTGGGCAATACTTATTCATTGTTTTGCCAGTATTTCGTTCGTCTTTGAGGAAGACTATTCCATTCAATCATAAGCGGGTAGTTTTAACAGTAACGAGCTTATGTCTCTATTCCACAAAGCAGAAGCAGTCACGGAAGCGAAGTTAAGAACGCGAAAGAAAAAGATTGGAAAAGAAAAGATGCAGAGAACGTTTTAAGCATTTCTGAAGTAGTCCTGAAGAACATCCATTTTCATGTTCGAGAAAAAGATTTAAAAGTACTAGAAGGAGGTGACACATGTTAATAGAAATAATGCTTGAATTTTTATTTTTGCTCACCTGCAATTTTTGCTTCATCAGACAGCCTCGTATAGTTGACGAGTGCCGCCGTTTCCAAACTCTTCTTGATCATGCTCCGAACCTCCTCAGGCTGCACAGGTGTCGCAATGTCTTTCATAAGAACCTGCAACAAGTCGTCAGTTTAAACGACCTTAGTACGGACCACAAGTTTTGGAGCGTCATCCAATCGTTTTCTGTCTGACTCTGGCATTTGGCCTGAGATCAGTGACCTGGTTTTGGACCCAGTTCGATACTTGAGCCCAACTATTACATAGCGTCAACTGCTTAGGAACTTCTTTAACACGAAAACACCCTTGCATGCCACAAAAATACATCGAAAATCAACTGCATTAGGGAGATGAAATGCCTCCCATGACATTTCTTGACGTTCTGTGACTCGTGGGACAAGTGGGATTGTGCACAGGTTTGGCACCTGCGGCGGTCAGAGAGGTTGTGCTCTCTGCGTGCGTGCCAGCGCGCGTTCAAAACTATATGTAACTTTCAGATATCATAAAAATAACAATGTTAATTGGATTCCTCTGGCGAAGTTAATTTGAAAAAAGTCAAACATGCAAACAGGCGCTCAGAGTCAAAATGGAAAAGTTATTAACCTTCAAAGAATTAGAAGTAGCCGCAAAAACGCAAAATTGAGAAGTGGGGGGGGGGACTCTGCCATTTTGGTTCCGATCGTCTTCGGGTATAAAATGTTTTTGTTTCCTTTTGACAAGAGGAATCCGAAGCAATATAGTCAGCCTTTTAATTCTAGTCAGTTCGCCCTCGCGTGATGCACAGCCTCGGCAGCCCTTGTAGGTGTCAAAGCAGTGCACAAGTTGCGCACAGAAACACGGCGCACGCGGTGTTTACGCGTTGTGCAAAGGATCTATGTAATACGGGTATAGAGCCCACACACACGGTAAAGGGTGGGTGAGCGCCGTCGCACGGCATTTGTTTGAGAGGGGCTTCTTACTTCCTGCTTACCCTCTCAAGTAGAGACAGTGTTGCTTTCAGGGCGCCCTCCGGGCGTCCGAAAGGGAAGCAATACCTGCAGTTTAAGGTAAATATGTTTCATGAAACTCAGAAAGTAACCCATTTGTTTTCAGATTAACTTTCGATATACGCACCGGAAGTTTGTTATCTGATGTTCTAATAACACTCGAAGACGTTCTTTTATCACCTGAAAACGTTCTTTCTCTTCATGGGTTACTGTTCCTACTCCATCAGGCCTGCAATCAGCAACAATTTCCCCATTAAAACAACATATTGAAGCAATCTACTCAAGTAGAAGAATTGCAAAGGTAAAATCGACGAATGGTTATATGACAATGTTTTCGCGCGCAAAAAATAAAATAAATGTGTATGATGGCCGAAGACTAAAAAATGTTTCAGGAGCTAGTGTTTAAAAATAACAGACGCAGAGCAATTACAGGTAATTCATGCTGCTCTTTCTTTTTCGTTACATTCTCTATTTGAAGCCATTATTTTTTCTGATCTAGTTAGACAAAAGCCTGCACTTTAGTAAACAGAACTGATTTAACTTCATTCCAAACAAATAGTGGCGGGGATTAAGGATTACGCTGCCTACTTGAATTACTGTTTTACTGTGGCCCATGAGGATTTCGAAAAAGCTCTTATATTTTTGGTAACACTAAGGTAAAGGGCTGCGTTTAAGGACATTTTTTTAAATTTGATCTACGACTTCTCAGTATGTGTAGTAAGAAAATTTTGGGGAACTATGCGTTCAAGCATTTGGCATGCAGCTGCTTTCAGAGAAAGCCGTTTAATCATGTACTTGGTACGTGGAAGATCTATTACAACATTTTCTGAAGAGATAAATCTACAGCTTTTGTTTCTTTAGGCAGGTGCTACGGATTATGTATATTTTCAAATGTTTACAATTACATTTTCAGGGGTTACACTTTTTATAAGGAAGCTGTTGCTTGAGGGACATCACGGGAATAGAATCTAACAACAAAAACTTCTGATAGTAAAAATAATAAAAAGGTGAACGGTTAATGTTGAGTGTGCATTGTGAAGAAATCGCACTGTTGCAGTTCATCAGAAGTGTCCCACCGTGGCCTTGCGTGTTTTCTGAAAAGCACGTCAACGCCAGGCAAGTGAGTGCTTGTGTACAGCTGGTGAAAAAGTTGTGGAACAAAGTGTAGCAAAGGCGTATCAGCTGACTCTGAAAATCCATGCATTTAAAGTGGGTGAAGCAAAACTCGAAAACATGACGATGAGTGGGATTGCAACATTTTAAAGTCATACCCTGCGCTTTTCTGGAAAAGCGGTGACATGTCCAACCAAATAACTTTCTGTGAACATTAGCGCTGGAAAATGTGTTTTGTCCCTTTTATCAGTTGTGACGCCGCGCACCATTTTTGAATTGAGCTTCAATGCTAAGCAGTGCGTCATAATGCACGCTCAACGAAGAGAACTTCCACTGCGTTAAAGCAGGAAGGCTACACGTTTGCTTGTGGGTCCCAACAAACAGCAACGGTCGTTAGAAATGATATTTTGTCGATATTGCGATTGTCAACCATGGAACTGCACGTGTTGCCTTGCCACGCTTCATTGCGCTTGACAGTGTAAGCGAGGCAGCGCCGAACATCTCTAGTACGTGTCGGGCCCACCTGTCTACATCTACACTTCAGGTCCTAGTTTGCGATCTCTTTACTGTGAATCGTATCAATATCTATCCAAGTTGCGCTTCCGCCGTCACGTATAGAGCGTAAGGAATGGAGAATGCGCTCCGTCACGAAACGCAATACATATACACAGCATTGAGCGGGGTGAGTCACCCCAACGCCCATTATACAAATACGAGTCTAAGATGCGTTACAAAGAAAGCGAGTGACAAAACAGCAGCGAGCGGCGTGCAGGCCGGCGTGCAGGCCCAGATACAAACCTGACGACTGGAGTATTGTCCTCCAGCATCTCCGCGCTAAAGGACAGAAACACGCATCAGGCTACCAGCACATCTACCGCCTGGCTTGTACAACAGAAGAGGTTTACAACTCCCTACGAACACAGAGCTGCAGGATTAGCGCCATTTCAGCAGGAATAATAATTTTTATAGAAAGAACAGATAGATAACTGAACAAACGTTATGAACTCTTTAGTATAAGATAACCGAGCCCTGGGTTACAGTAGGGAGTTGGGTAAGAAAGTAAAAGGAAACAGTGCAATTAATATCAACCTCACTCAAGGATTTGTGAAATACATCGATAGAAGGAACAATAATGACAAACAAAATTGTCATACCGAAAGAAGGGATGCATTCTAAGGTGGGGATTTACTAATATCAAGGAAATGTTTCCACTGGCATCTTGCAGATTAACTTAGAGGTACACGAAGTAGAACTCATCTGTCATAAACTCATTTTCTGAGCACAGGAGACATATTTCCCACTTGCGAGTAACACGACATCACACCATAACTTTTTAAAGAAAATGTCGTTTAATATCCAATTTACTTTAAATAAATAATAAGTAACATGAAATATTATACTTGTTCAAGTGTAACTTTTTGAAAAGATATTTAGAAACAAAATGCTCGATACTTTGCAGTGTCTCGTTGCTGGAAATTAACTAACAGTAACAAATTTGTGGTAATTTGGCAAGATCATCCGTTTTGTCTTTAGTTCTTTTGAAAAGCATCCTCCAGTAGGCCTACTAAAACGACAAAAAATTAAAATTTTCGAAACATTTATTTATTATTACAAATCTGTTTGCTAAATCAAAATTACTGTCGTTAAAAAAGAGCAACAGTACTGCAATTGACTGCAAAAGAATTATGGACAACATCCCACCCAAGCCAGATTCCCGTGTTTAACAACTTCCGTGCGAGGTTCACAGTAGACTAGGCCTGATAACTGTACCAGAGAGTCGTGAATCCTCGAGGATGATTTGGATATTTTAATTACGTCCAACATGTGATGTGGACCCCTCGTACGGAACGTGTTAAGATTGAGTACGCTACGTCCTTCATGTGAAATCTACAGGAATTTTTCGCTTGGAACATTTGTACTAAACTGTATATACAAAACACAGACGTCTATATGGAAAATGCAGCTAAATTCATAATCCTTAAAGGATAACAAACGACAGAGAGTGAGTTTCTGGGACAATTTGGTCCCAATGCCCCCACCAATCCAGACGCCACAAAAATCTAAACACGTGATACATTCCAAATGCGTTCACTCAAGTATCGCAATTTCCTTACCTGTTTCCATGTACATGACTGGCACAAAAGGCAAAGCTGAAGTGGATGACTGTAGGATCAATCATTATATTGTTTTCTGCTCTGTCTAAAAGGTCGGACAGGTAACAGAGGTGGCGATAACAGCCTCGGACGCCGTACCTCGCACAATATTCATCGAGAACAAAGAGTTGTCCGGGGCTAAACCATCCCTATAGGACAGAAATTTATAGAGCAATAAGGACAGAGGGGATGTGCGTATTTCGAAGTATTCGACTGCAAATCTTACCAATGAACAGTATGGATCGTTCAGCCGGTAGTCAAGTGTCAGAGTTTGGAGCATTTTAAACAAAGTTGCATGATCGAATTTGCATGGATCTGCTGAAATATACTCCTCCATACCATGCTTTCGCGCCCTATCAGCGTCTAAAAACCAGGAAATAATTTAATTAACCTGTGCACTTCGTACCTCCTACTTTTCGAGACTTGTAAGCAAGAAAACTCACCACCCTGTATTTTCGAAATAGTAGAGTTTTTACTGGCGGGCGTGATCGGGGGTGTAGGCTTGTGGCTCTGGCCAGTCGCTCTATAGAGTGCCATCACCCACAGGTGGCATTCATTCTCATCGTCGCACGACAGAAGAACACTGTCACCCTCCTTGACGGCGTTGAAGAAATGTCTTCCGCCCTCCAAGTCCACTGGAAAAAATGGCAAATTTAGTTTAGCTTTTACTTCCCAAGTACTTCTGAAAAGAGGGAAACAAAGCAACTTACTTTGCCCGGGCATCAGTTGCGATGCAAAAGAAGCCACTGAAATGAAAATGAAACATCGTAATTAAAGTTTACATTTAGAAAATGTAAATTTTAAGCTGCATAGACAGAATCACGCTTACCGCTGGATGGTTCTATATAGTCAACCGTATATCCATCCAGCTGCATCATTTCGGCTGGTTCCGTCTTCTTTTCCTTGTACGTGCACAATGCAAAGGTGTACTGAGATACTTGCACTAGAACGAAATACCGCTTCTTCCACTTCTTCCAAACACCTTTTCCAACTCCATACAAATACCTAACACACAATGTACCAGAAAACCAATGGATAAAATTAAAGTGTACACAATGATGCTATTTTTAATTCTAGCTAGTTGTAGCACCAAGTGATTACAAGATTTCCAGATCACTTACCCGCAGTGCTTCATATTCAGCGGCTTGTCCATCCTGCACGCCACTTTAATCTTTAAATCTTGGTCCGCACAGTTCTTAGGCACCTGCATCTTGTGCCATTCTGGCACCTTCGAAGACACTGGAGTTGGCCTTAAGACAACTTTACCTAGTTCCTTGTCTTCAAGAGCTAACATTCCTGGATTTTCAGTGAATAACTTAATTTTGACGGCTGGCAATGGGTGCGTGGTCGAAAAGTCTCCCTGTGTGTCCCACCTGTAAGAACGGTAATGATTTAGTCGCACCCGGTAGAAAACAGGCATTTTTGATTTCATAATAACTTTCTTAATTTACATAGGCTTTGAGGCTTCCGCTTGGTCAGTCTGTAGTTTTTCTCCACCTTCCACCTCCATGGTGCAATACACAATGCGGTTCGGCTGGAGAGACTTCAGCCCTTTGACTTCCATCACAAGAACCTGCGGAAAAACCATGACAGAGCTTTCCTTGGCGAGGAGGTCTTTCTCTCGCAAGCGCAATAATTGTCAGTGCAATATAAATGTAGAGACAGTCTACATTTAAGCGTCGGTATGACATAAGTCATATCGAACGCTACGGTGAAATAGTAAATTCAAAATTAATGTCGTAAAAAACACCCTTAGTCTCACCTCGAGCTGGAAGGTCAACACGACATCGAGCTTCGAGAGCTGAGTGTCGGTGTCGGCCGAGTCACCCTCCAGCTTGGCCAAGGAGCCCTGGGATCTGTCACCACATAAACCAATTAGACCACGCAGTAGCAGCAGTGCCCCGGCGCCGCCGTCGCCGCCACAAAGGAGGCGCCGAGAGATCTGTCAGCCGTGCTCACGGCCCTGCTGGCTATCTATCCCGGGCCGCTGTCTGCCGAACAAACACCAACGCGTCCATATACCACTCCCAGCGCCCTGCCCAGCCCTGTCGGCCCTGCCCCGCTCTGCGTGCCCAGCATGAATCAGTAAAGACTTTTCAGATCTGGAAACTAGGTCCATTGAATGTTATCATTGAATTATGCAGAATGTACTGAAAATATATTGTGGCGTGAGTGTAAAAGGTAGGGTGATAGGGCCGTACATGAACAAAGAATATGCCAGTGTAGTGAGAGAGAACGTGACGGTGTAGCAGTGAGGCGAGATACGCTTAGCGACGAGACAGACTGACCGGAAATAAAAAGTTTGGACCTGAAAGTTTCGGACAAAGAGAGTGACAAGTACTCAATCTTCTATGAGTTTAGTGCAGATGATGTGCCCAGATAAGTCAAGAGTAGATATATAGTTAAAGCGCCTTTCCCTGCCAATAGACCACAAATGAAGAGAGAAATTTAAAAAAATGAGCCACGGGTAAGCTGCTGATTTAAATAAACCATCTAACTAAGGCACACAGTGGCTAACACACAAGGGAATCTAGAAGAGAAAAGACAATATCTCGACGTGATCATAGTCACAAAAAAAGATACAATCGAGACCTCTATAGAAAAACCCTTTCGCGCGATATGCTGGTAGCATTTGGGTGCGCATGACAACATCTGCAAAACAGAGGCGCTTATATAGGCAAGCAAGCCTGCCATGCTTCACAACTAGACAACACACGGTGTGTATGGGCAGAGGACTTTGTGGTCTGTACATGTAGAGCGAGGGTCGGAGCACGGCCTCTTTAGCAAACTGGGACCTTCAATCGTAGTGGGAATAATTGGAATACTGATCAATTGTATGAAAAGCCTTTGTCTCGTGTGTCTTTTCCATACTGACATCAAGTGAGCACAGGAGCAGCTGGCGACAGGGGGAGCTGGCAACAAGGTAACACAGTGCTCTCCACAACATTCACTCATGCACATGACAAGCCACCATTAAGTTTTAGAAATAGTCTCTTTTAACACCCTACGTGTGGAGCCCTTTTGCCGTACTTCCTTGTGGCCTCCAGTAAATGTAGTCCATCGAAATATTATTCTGAAGCTTATGAAAAACAACGTGAACCCACGACTCGAACAATAAAATATTTGATTGGGTCCACACGACAAGAGTTAAGACTACAAAACTCCCTGATTCAGAGGATTGTTTTAATGGTATGAAATGGCAGTTTGTCGACAGAGATGACAGAGTAAGTAGTAGTAGTGATTATATAGCAGGCAGAAGAACAGTCAAAAAGATTAAATAACATGCATCAGACGAGACAGAAGAAGACTGCAGTCAAGGAGAAGCAAGGAGAGAACAGGCAATCAACAGGTACACTCCTAGACGATCTTATTTCAGAACGGAGTTTTCCCTTTGGGAAGTTAAAAAGTTGCCCAAATTTTAAAACTGCACTCTTTTAAAGTCAAAAATTTGAGAAAAATGCTCTGGTAAAATCAGTACTGACGGTTCACTGGAAAGGAATGGATTAGCAATGGAAAAGAGGCCCTTTCAATTTTTTAAGTGAATTTATCAATTGCATACTTTGCTCTTTGCCCTGCAATATGTGGGCGAGCAGTCTTTTAATTAAAAAGGCGGAGCCAGGCAAGTGCCATCATGTCTCTCCATAACTACATCGCCGTTGTTCCCCACAATGCATGTAAATTACAGTAGTCTTCCCCGGAGAGTAACATGTACACACACTAATTTACATCAGATGCACCAATACGAGCACACAAAGAGCACGTTAGCGCAGACACATGCCAAACTGTACAAATGTGCCGTGACTGGCTAGAAGATGCTACGAAGTGTGTAACAGGCACTCAGCCTACACGGGCAACGTTCAGTGCTCCGTGTTCCGACTAGTGTAAGCATAGTGAGAGGAGTCCAGCATCAAACCAGTCCAAGAGAGCCGTGCACACGACCATTTCGACCGCCACGATTGCTCCCGTCGATTGATTTGTTGAGCAGAAGCGTGACTTACTCACAAATAATAAGAGGCTTAACGGTAACTTAGGAACAAAAAATTGCCGAAGCTCTACCTGCCTCAAGACAGAACTTCTCCTTCGACTACGGACAGCAAGAGAAGAAAGAGACAGACATAAGGTTAGTACACAGCTCAATTTGGTAACGCGAAATCCACTGACAAAAAACAAAAACAAAATTAATTAAATTGAGGTGAATGAAAAAGAAACTTCGGTAGAAGTGGTTTTGTACGACAAGAAAAAATAACAGAAAACAAACCATACCGTACAGTAAAACAGTTTTGCGTAAGAAAACGTTGAAAAACCGTTTTTTAGACCTCTATTTTAGTGGATTGCACGTTACAAAAAATAAAAAATTGCTCGAGCAGAAGAACAAAGAACTTAATAAATCCGGTGTATCGTTGACATTGCAACAAAAAATAAAAACCTCATAGCACAACAAATTGTGAAAAGCTTTAAAAACGTAGACGAAAATCTATATATCATTCCTTCCCTGACCAGCAAAAAAAAAAAAATGGATTGGGACGAAAAAGGCACATTATCAAGTCGTCACTTTAATTAAATCCACGACTGGTTCTCGGTTCTTCAGCAGAGAGCAGGTGTATGAACAATAGCAGTGGCATAATGGTATGTATGTACAGATTAATCTTTAAATGATGCTGAGTAATAAGACATGGTTACTGAAACCAATAAAAAGATAACAGAATGTTTTGTAAATTTTCTTTTTTTTTTTAATTCGATCTTTCATTTCAAAATCATTTCTAGCTCAGTGGAGCTATGGGGGATCGTTTAATTGTATACTGTTTAACGGATGAAAATAATTGTGTCCCGATCAAAAATTGTAGGTATTTCAAGATAAGTGCCTTTAGTTCGATAAAACCAAAAAATGGTTGTCCGACCGAGGCAGTAGTTGACGAAAGAAACACGTGGGATACAAGAACAAACCATCGCAGAGTCATCATGACGAACGACGTGCACTGCAGATATAAAGAGACAATCCCCCCCCCCCTCCCCCCAAACAGGAGAGAGTTCTCATGCACGCACATCCAGACTGGATGCAATTTTGTTCCCAGCACTCGACAAGCTGAGGCCGGCCTTACACAATTTGTCCTGCTTTAGAAGCAAAACCGTATCCCGTGCTAGATATGCACGAAAACGTCCTCTTCATAGGGAAAACAATAATTCTTTACAGTTATTGATTGTGCATGTTCCGTCAACTACAAATTCGTTTCCGCGACTAGATTTTGGTTCCAACAACTAATTGTTTTGAGGAACAGAAAACGGTTTTCTTGAAAAACTTGTATTTTATTTCAGGGCATCACTTATTTTTTCCGTGCGGAGCCCGGGACGAAACAACAGAGCTGGAACGTGAAAATATAACGGCATGCCTTCACGCCCTAGATAAGATAACCAGTAACTCAGTGGTAGTTGTAGTGGATGGCGCGGATACCTTTCCAGCATCCAGCTTTGTCATTATTTCCAAATCGGGTAACAGTAGAATACTAAATTGTACAGCACTGAATTTGGCTAATATTAAAATTCCATTAAAGTAATAAAGTAAGGAAAGTGTACAGCTATCGAAAGACTCGAGTCAGTCATTTTTTTGGATACCCGCATTCATTTAATATCCATTCAGTGATCGGGCAGTTTTTACTCTATTTTATGTGCAGGTTTCTCATGCGGCGGGAAGGGATGAAAGCTATGTACATTACGTAAGTACAAAGAGAATGTGCAATATTGGTGAATTTAACATGGGCTGACTAGGACTACAATGTGGCTTAACGCTTTCATGACAGTCCAACCCATGTTCAGTGAAAGTAAATGTACTCTTGCGTGAATTTATTCACAAAGCATTCCAATCAATAAATCCCACCCCCAAACTCTACAAATACTGTATTATTATATGTGAAATAGTGAAGCCCATGCAAAAGACAAAATGTCTTTAAAGCAAGGACCGAATACATACCTATGATTGTATCTTTTTAACTTTTGCAGCCCATATTTTGAGTCCATTGTGCCTTTTGACACAGGTAGGGATTCCAAATTAGCCATTAGTAGATTAATAGAAGCTTTCATCTCCTCAATATACAGCGATTCCATTTCTTTTAGTACAAATTTGGGCATTAGCTTCCGGTTCTGAAAATAATATTAACACAATAGAAATGTTTGCTCACAGATCGCGGCGTTGTTAAAAAAAAAATACACTAAAAAACTAATGGGCTGAATACCTTTTCCATTTCTGCGACCTTTTGCATGCGCCCATCGAGTTCTCGGCGAATAGCAGCAGCTTGCTCGTCTGCTGAATCCAGCTGTATTCGAACAAATACCAATTCAGAAAATAGTTGAATAAAACTAAACGAAAATTACACAGCTTTCGACCATACCTGCAATGCGTTAAATAAGAGCTGGTGCTCAAATTTCTTAACCCCGAGTATTTGTTGAAACATGTCGTACAGTTGCTCCTTGCTAAGAATGAGCTCGCTATTCAATGGTTGCTGCATCCGGTTCGGCCTCTTCGAATCGTCGTCGTTTGCTGGAAAACGCTTCAGTTAAGTAACCCTTTCAAAAATTATTTGAAGAATTAAAAGTAAATTCACTCACCCTTAATTATACAATCAAACTTTGCCATCCAGGACGCGAGGACCGTTTCTTTACTTAGTCCATCAACTTCCGGAAGAGATCTGTGAGGACAAATGCATGTGTCAAATTGCGATACATGCTACAAAAGTTAAAAATGAGAACGTTCCACAAGTGACGTGAGGGAACGTTGGGCGGTCGGCGTCAAACGTTCTCCTATCCGATCCTTTACCCCCCTACTGTGGGCGACCTGGGCGGGCCACCGACTTCACATAGGTACTTGGCGTTCTTGCGTACCCATCGCATCCAAAACGCAATCATTAGCGAGAACCTCGTTCACTGTCGGAACACCTACAGGTTGGGGTTGGGAGCGGAAGTGGTGCTGGACGTACCTGACCCTCTTCTCACACATGGTTCTAAACACTTCACGGAAATCGTGTTGACTGCATGCCCCGGACGAGACCATGCTCGCCAGGCGATCAGACTTGAGAAACACGTCGTAGTAGTTTGAAACGGCGTTTTGGAAGGCCTCGTCAGCCATGATCTGGGTGTCTCCCTTCATAAAAGCCTGCAACAGAAAGTACATTAGTGAAGTTTGTTTCCAAATATCAGAGGGATAAAATGTATTTTTCTACCACGAAAATTACCTGAAAACGTTGCAGAATTTGGTCGAGTTGTGTTCTTGTTATCTTCATGTGTCTCCTAGTCAAATCAGTGGGCTGCTTAGCATTAAACGGGTAGGCGATACAGCGAGATATGAAGACGTAGAGCTGAATCCTTCTCTTCCGCTCCTCCTCCTCACGTTCTTGTCTTTCCTGAATCAATTGAATAGTAAAGCGTGAGTAACAGGAGCACAAATAAAAACGTTCTTCGTGTGACTAATCTAGGAAGCAACCACAAGGTAAATTAGAGGTCATCCAAAAAGTATACTTTTTATACGTCTGGAGTCCGGAGGGGGAGGGAATTCCGAAAACGGACAGGAATGTACTGAGGAAGGGCAAAGAGGGGCGATAGACCGGACGACCGATTTTAACTGTACGAAAACCAAGGGAAAAGACGACGGTGGTGCAGCAAGGTCCACTTCACTATTTTTCTCTTTTGTAACAGTATACCTATAACGTTCGCGCTTCATTGTAAATGGGTTGGCGTCTTATGACGCCAAAATATTGGCGTCCTCTATAGAACGCCAAATTTAGGCGTCATAAGACTCAAGTTCTTGGCGTCCAGTAAAAGAACGCCAAAATTTGGCGTCTTATGACGCCAAAATTTGGCGTCTTATAACGCCAAAATTTGGCGTCTTATAACGCCAAAATTTGGCGTCTTTTAGGATATGGCGTCATAGGACGCCAAAATTTGGCGTCATAAGACGCCAACCCATTTACAGTGTCCCCAATCAAAAAACAAATTCCTTATGAGAGCGTTAATTCGAGGTGGCGTAGGTAAACCGGAGGGTAACGGAAGAGGTGGACGGACAGGATAACCGTGCGTATTCCTGGCAAAAAAGCAGCGGATGTACTTTATAGATAATCCCTTGGCACTAGAGGGATTCAGTAATTCGACGCGCTAACTATGTGTGTGACGGCGTCTTTTCATCTCTGCACATAAAAAATAACTTTGTTATGAGGATCAATTATGTTATTACAGATTATAGAGTTTCTTCTATTCGTACAAGTGTCCGGTCGTGGCAACTCACTCCTGGTTGTGGGTACCGGATTCCCGATTCTAGCTATCGAATTGAGAATACCAAATAGATCTGATCCCGACGACAAAGTTCTTTTTTTCTCGTGGCTGTATGTTTTACCAGGGACTTTGTATAATACAACAAGTTTACGTATTTGAACAGAGACCAAAGCGCCGTATTATTAGTGATACGTTTTTTTTTCTCGGTCGGAGTTTGAAGTGCAAAATTACTAGCCCTTTACTTCATAATGTGAGTGAAAAGCTTAAAACTCTACGTCTACCATCGTGCCCGAGCATGTGCTTCATTGTAATTATTTCAGGATGCCTAGTCTACGCCTGCTGTGATAGGTGCACTCACTCGTCAGCCAGCACCCAGAGTATAGTTTCTTTGATATAGACGTAAAGAAATGTTTTCTTTGAATCAAAGAAGCCTTATTACATTAAAAGAAGCTTTCTTTGATCCAAAAGTAAAAAATTCTTTGAATGAGAAAAGTCTCTCTGGTTTAAAGAAAATGGTTATTTAAGGACATCAAAGAAATGTGAGTTAATTTTTTTCTTTTTTCTTTACAAAGAAAGGATTTTCTGGGTTAGCTGTGGCACGTTATGGTTCAGCTCTCATGAGGTGAGAAATCTAGAGATATCTAAGGGCAATTGATTCCAGCACTACTCTTTCCAGTACTCACATATGGGTCTATGTCCTGCTGCTGTAAGGGTGAGGTGAGAGAAAGTATTGTTAGGAATAGGAGTTGGATAATGGTTGTGTGATCTCCTTATTGTGTCTGAAGCTAACTCTGTTGCCAAATTAGACAAATATCTACGCCTAGGAGGCGTTAGATTAAAAATAGTTATTTTAACAACATACCTGAAGGTCTTGTTGGTTACCGCTAGCCACTGATGGGCTAGGACTGGCTGGCCTTGGGAGGGAGTTGGTCCTTGACGCCGCTGTGGCGACGCTAAGAGTCTCGGCAGACACTGCTGAAGCAGGTGACAGTGACCGACTGAAATAAAAAGACCAAATGTTATAGTGGGCCTATGAGAGCCTCTATCAAGAATTACTATGTCGAATAGGGGAAACCTTGAACCGCACTGGAACTCAGACTGCAAAAAGGAAGTTGGTATGGAGTAGGACAACATTATATGAAAACCAAACACAGAACACTGAGCACTATCGAGAAAACTAATTATGCGGCGTTGATTCTACACTCACTTCAGAATAATCGGCAAATTATACTGATTACTACACAATCGTTATGAACATGCGTCTTCCTTGATATTCCGCCACTCAAGAACCAGATCAAGCTCACACCGCATGCGGAGGGAAAAGTCCGGTAGTCTGGTAGGAGAGCTCTTCTCAATAAACATAATTTTAATTCCGCGACGCTGTTTTCCAGCATTCAAGCAAAAGCAAACTAACTCAACTCAGCAAAATTCTAGGAAAAATGTATTTCTTCCAAAGACAATAGGAGCACAGAAAAAAAGGCTCTACCATGTGTCAATTCCAGGTCAAAACAGTATACGGGATTGCCTACCCGTTCAACCAGTAAGGCGCCGTAGCCCCTTAGGGTATACCCTAAGGGCATGTATGCAATCCCGCAACACTGTTGTGTCGTGGGCCTGACACACGGTATGAAAACTATGTAACTATAAAACGCAGAGACGCTGTGCCTCAGAGGTCCGCACAGACTTTAAGAACAAATCAAGTTAACTATTTGTATTTAAAAAAAATCATATGACCAAGCCAGAAAAAAACACAATCACAACGAAACACGTTTGTGCCATTTTTTTTTTATTTTATTGATCTCTGACTTATTTCTCTCATTTCAAAATGTTAGAAAACAGAAATACTCAAACACTGCGCTAATAAGGACACAGGAGAAAACATCGATCTACACGAAGAAACAGCTGAGAAGGACGTTGAGGGTGAACAAGGGAGGGGGTGAAGAGAGAGAAGAGTTGAATTGGCCATGGGGAAGAAGAGGGGGCACGAATCAAACTACACACATTTGCAACATTCAGGACACAGAAGCAAGCCACACACAGATGGGTAGCAGCGGTATTACCGATGATGCTGTGAAGGTATCTCGAGAGGAACTCTGGCTCCAGTGGTCTGTGGCCTGAAATCAGGTTTAGCAACGAACTTGTCAGGCGATACATTTTGCATCCAGACATTTGATCTCCGATGTGGGCTCATGAACTATCTGGAAACTTAAGCATAGCTTGTTCAGCTAATAGTGCATTTACAAATATTGTAGATGTATGGCGTTAATGTTTCACTGACATTATTCTTTGCCCAGAGAGAGCACACAAGCTAGAGACAGTTAGAAAGCGGAAAAGGGTTTGAGTATTTAAAAGAATTATTTGATTCACGTAAAATATTATTTTTTCTAAATCGCGCAGAGCGAACAAAAAAATTGCTGGCAAAAGTTGGGGGCAACAACTCCGGGAGCGTCGTGCAGTCGTACACCTGCCTGGGAATCGTCAGGATAAAAATTTATCGAAATCAAATTAAGTCAGTTTAAATACTACGTAACGCCTTTTCGCTACTGGTGGCGAAAATATGACCAACTGCTGTCAAACGTGACAAACGGGGAAGAGGCCGTGTGACGTCGCAGTCAGCTACACTACGCGTGACACAGAAACATTTCCCTGGTTCGAAAGGCGCGATCTTGCGTTGGGGCATGATACTAACCGTTGTAATTTATTTATTATTTTTTAAAGACCATTGTTTTTCGTGTATTTCAAAATAAAAATAATCGTTCTTTTTTCCTAATTGCGTGTAAAATAATGCGTAATAGAGTGATGTACACAGAAACACAAGCTGCGGACAAAAAGTTAATAACAGCTTACGTTCGGCGGAGGGGTGGGCCTGCTTACTTCCACGTGCATACAGTAATGGTGGAAAAATTCTTTGACTTTACAATTTTATACAAATTGCTTCTAATTTAATAAAAAAATGTTTCACACACTAGTTTCCGGAACAAAAACATTTTGTGATTGGGGAAATTTGAAGTATAACAAATTTCAGAGATTTTGGTTTGAACGTCATTTGTTACATGAACTACTTGAAGTAACTACTGCAACAGAAAATTTTGAAAGAGACAAAAGTTGTCCACGTTTTTGTATGAAATGATTTTAAGACCAGCATAGCTGTAAAAAAGATATTTGTGCGTGCAATGCCAGTCTTTTAAGACACAAAAATAATCTAAAACACGGTAGAAGGCAGGTGTAACGCAGGCACCCCCCCCCCCCCCCCCCTCCCACTACTGCTCCATCTGTCCTCTTCCTTTTTCTACGCTGTTTCTGTTTATTTTTAACAGAGTAAGTCTTTCTCGACCCAAACCCACCACCCACCCTATCTTCCCCTTCTTCTCCTGCTGCCGCTGCGAGAGGATCGGATTAGCAGCGTGACGCTGTCCGACTTTGTCTGCTCTCACACACCCACCACACCACCGAGCACAAAAACAAAGAACGAAATGAAAGGGGAAACAGAGAAAGTAGCCTGGAGAGACATGGTACTACTTTTGCCCATGTACTTGGCACATGAACGAGAGGAAAAGACAACGGTTTACTTTACCCACCCAATAATGCAATTCTTAAAAGAAGTCGAAATGGCTTGCTTCAACGCTATTTTTACCTTTAAAAAATACAAGTAAATTTCCTCTACCTTAAAGACAAATGTCGTTAAAATAAAGTAAAAATTTCCTCAAATTACCTTTATTTTCTTGAAAAGAATGGCCTGAAACTAAAGACAATAAAATACCCTCGTTTTTTAAAAGGAATGTTCCATTAATTATGGATACCTTTTTCTGGATGAGGCTAGACTATGAATTTAAAAATATAACTCTATAAACTTGATTTCACAAATATCCGAAATAGAAAATTTAGAAATAATATTGATTTTGTAACGTTTTATCGTTAGATTGCCCCCCCCCCCCCTCTTTTCTAAAATATATTAAAGTGGCAAAAATTCTCCCCTTATAAAGTATATAATGAGCTGACCTCTGTATGGATGCGCCGGGCACCTCCAGACCCTGCTGCTGCTGCTGGAGGTGCTGCTGCTGCTGGGCAGCTGGGTGCGCGGCCGGGTGAGCAGCCGGGTGGTGCTGCGGCGTGGAGCGCGGGTGGCGGCCCGGTGGCAGCAGCGGCACGGGCTGTGGTTGGTCGGCGCGTCGCTCATCCTCGCTGTCCTCCTCCGACGAGCTCGGGTCTATCATAGTGCCTGAAAGTCAGGAATGAGCGTTTTAAAAATTACCGTTTTTGGCAGATGATTAATCATCGGTTCACCACCCTGTTAAAAATAGCTGTCACGTGACGATTCGATTCATATGACAGTTTCATTTAAAATCAAATCAAACTTCACTGTGAACAAAAACGATTCTTTAAAGAAAGCTATTTTGCTGCTGAATCTTTAATTACATTTGCGGATTGCTAACAGTAGTTTTGTCACCGAACTATTAAACTATTGGTGCCAAGAATTATAAGCAATACCCCCACCCCCATATCGAAGAAAGGTTGTCAATATACTGCTTTGATTTAGTCGGCTTCGATTAATAACATAAATTTTCTTTTACAATGTTCCTAATGTCCCCAATAAAAGTAAAAACCTCAAGATCGCTTATAACAATTGCAGCTAACAGTGCTAATTTGATAGCAGATGTAGGCCTACACAATCGTGTTACAACTAAGAAAACTAGTTCTGCGCTGAGGCAGAAACTCGTTCTTTCCGCAAATTATCGCTCTTATTGTAGTGGGATCACCCAGAAAGTGCCGTCACGAACTTGCCAAAACCAGCTCAGGCAAGATCTCGAAGCGCCCGATTGGTAGGCAACATCTCTCCAGTAGCGCATGCGTGTTTTGCAGGGCGGCCTACCCCGTGTCTCGCAGGCGCCATGCTCTCGTATTTTCCGGATGATCGAGTTAATATGAGAAACGGATGAGGCCTACTTTCCTCAAAATTCCCTATGTAACAAGTGCGTACAGTGCGCAGAAAGGAATTTAAAGGTATGTGAGAAAGAAGGAAAAGCGTCGCGTGTCACGAGGCCAAAACGAGGGTGGCTACGCATGGGCCCTAAATAAATGGGAACTTGCACACCGACCACCTGTAGATTCAAATAACCCGAGAGTTAATTAAATAACATGTTAAGTTTATCAAGTTCATTAAACATCTTTGGAAATGTTTGTCCACAATATTGAAACACAACATACAACGCTGAGTTCTGCATGGGGTTCTGTGCTACAGGCTCCAGCCTTTAAATTTTTTTAATAAATAAATCGTGGCTTACATCGTGGCTACATTTTTATACGCAGTTATAGACAAAACTGTTCATTGATACAAATATTTCTCAAACTTTGTTCATAATTGCGTATAAAGTAATACAAAAGAGCGCATGTTTACAGAATTACATAAGCTGCGTACAACAACAAAACAGTTCATGACAATTGAGTGTGCAGCGGATTCCAAAAAATCCGACCAGGGAAACGAGTAGTATATCCGAGAAAAGTCAATAATAACTCGTGAAATCTTGATTTCCAGCGAAAAGAAAAAAAAACTTGGAAAAGCGAGAATTCCCCCCAAAGTAAACAATTTCCGGTGGGTTTTTCAGGTGGGTGGCTCTCTATGCAACGTTGTTACAAAAACTGGCCATCTCACGCACAACCGAATGGAAATGCAAGCACAAAGGCCGTGCGGTTGAGAAGAGAGAGAGGGGGGAGAGGGGGGGTGAGAGAGAGAGAGAGAGAGAGAGAGAGAGAGAGAGAGAGAGAGAGAGAGAGAGAGAGAGAGAGGAAAGGGAGAGGGAAAAGGGAGAGAGGAAAGGGAGAAAGAGCAGACACGTGGCACGTGCCGACTTTCCTCGCAGCAGCTAATTTAGGGCCATTTACTTTTGCCTTATTGCGTCCCGCATATTTTGCCCACGCCCGCCTCCTCGCTCCCCCACTACTGCTCCTCTCCTTTTCCATGCTATTTCGCGGAAACACACCACTACA